CATACATACATACATTTGTACGTACGGCCAACGACGAGTTGATATATACCTTACGAACACTGCTGGTTTCATGTGCTGCTGCATATATCATTTATATTTATTTCTATATACATACCTACATGCATGCACACATATGTACGTACGTGGGTATGTACGATATACACACATCAGCTGCGAATAAAGAAATCAAAGTAAAACATCGTCAAAAAAATACGAAAATAAACACAACACAACAGCAGAGCACATGAAATGAAATGAACACAACAACACACAAGGGGAAGTAAAAATATAAACAAACAATTGAATATAAAACGAACGAAGAGCGAAGAAGAAAACAGCTGATTTCAACTTGTTTTCATCTCTTGTCTCAATGTTTTGTTCTGTGTGGACGTGTGTGTGTGTTTGCCTCAGAGAGTTGCTGCAAACATTCTCACATAGATTTGCTGTAATTTACTTTGAGTGCAGTTTCTCTCTTCCGCTCACCCTTTGTTTAACACATGTTTATTTGTCTCCATTTGTTTTTATGTGTAATTATCTGAGTGTTTCGATTTTTTTCACTCATTTTTTTGAGAGCACTCACTGTAAAGTTCATGCTCACACTCCAGAGTGTTTTGTTCTGAGCCTCTCCCTTTCATAATTCGTTATCAGGGTTGGCAATTACAGATGTCATTACGAAATTGTAAATGTAAGTGGTGGGAGGTTTACAACATTCAATTGGGGGGGTTTACGATGTAAATATTGGTAAATAAACCTTTAAGATATTACAAATGTTACAATTAAAGGAAATTGTAATATTTTTAGAACGACAACTACTCCAAAACGGAATTCTTAGTGTAAAAGCAATGTTATCATTGATGTACAAGGAAATAATGAGCCTATTTCTCTTATATATTTTAAAGGTGTCTGATATGATTTTTCTCATTTTTTCATTTAACCATATAACGGTACTCAACGATATTCGGTATGTTGATGGTTTTTGACACATTTTTCCACGGGTTTGTCTGAAAATTGGTATTTGTAGTTCATAATTGGTTCTAGCTTCGGTGGTATACGGTACTTGTATAAATTTTTTTCTTTACAAATTGGTGGAGGGTTTTAAAAGTTCGGCCCGTCCTAACTTAATGTTTTTTACTTGTTTATATTCTTAGTTATACATTCATCAACCAATTCGCTCACTATATATTCTCATGGAAGATAACTTTCAAGCTGCTCTCAAAGAATGTCATAACTCGAGAGTTTGTTTACCACCTAACGCGTTTTCATGTTTCGATGGAAATGCTCTTTTCTTATATTGTGGAATTAAAACACCTGTACAAGAATAAACATGACTCCACGCGAAAGAAACTAATATTTTTTGTTTGAGTGTCTTTCTACGGTTGTGATATATTTTGAGTGATTTTTTTCTATGAAATACACTTTCCACCCCTGGGGCAAATTGAGTGGTGTTTTCCCTTTCGAGTGTTTCTACGTTTTGTCTCTCATTATTTTATTTCACACTCTGACTGTGAATATCCTTTACGGTTCTTTGCTCATTTCATTATTTCCCTTTGTCATTTCCACTTCAAGTGCTAACGAAACAACTTCAAATTTGTGATTCAACAACAATTAAAGTAATGAAAATTTTAAAGTGTTTAAATTCTATTCTTTTATCTTTAATTGCATTTTTTTGTGATAAAATCAAGGGTTGTTTAAAAACTGTTAAAATATTTATATTTTTCCTTTTTTTTCTTCATAAAATCACTTGGCAGCGTCAGCATTACTCATCTTATTGATTTTTATTTGAAAGGCCCTAGGATATTTCGTTTTCCAAATGCGCTTGTCAGTGTGAACGTAATGTAACGCATCAAATCAGCTGTTTCAGTAAACAGTAAAGTATGAGAGAGAGAGGCCAGACAGAGAGTGCCAGAGCAATTATATGAAAGTAGAGAGAGACAAAAACAATTGTTTACATGGGCATTGGCATTTGACAAACGAAAGAAATGGAGAAAGATTGGAAGTTATTGTCCAAGTTAAATTTATTAAATTTAAAAGAAAAAAGTGACGTTGAAGAACAATAATAGTCGTGTACGGTTATTTGTCATAACACAGGAAGCAACACAGTGAAACCAAGTTTCTTAACCTCAATTCAAGTTGTGACTCTGCCAACACCTTTGGTAACCTCAATTGAAAATCGTTTAGAGATCTTTCATAAGTAATAAATCCAAACTCATATTGGAAAAGTGTAAGTTCAAAATGACAACAACAACCCACTCAATGTATTTGTTTTAAGGGATCCGTTTCCTTTTCTTTTTTATAGTTTCCACCCATGTATACATAAAGCCATAACAACCATTCCCAAAGTAATCCACTCAAGACAAAGGACATCAGGTACTTTCTCGTTTTGCCTGTGCGCCCTTAGCCCAAGAGAAATGGAACGAATGAACAGACAAGTACCACCTATCAACATCATGGTGTGCCATTGTTGGTTTCTTCGCTTCCAGTTGTCCATTCATTCTTTACGTGCTATTTAACTATTCATCTGTTTCCTTTTTTCCAATTTGCACGAAACAAAGGAATTTAAGTCATCAGGGATGAATGTGAACAATGACCGTCCGACCGAACAAGCGAGCGACCGGCAGACGACAATGAACGACATAGAACACAAATACAAGTGATAATAAGGGCAACCCAGCACAAAATGTCTAGAGTCGTCTGTGTCGTTTCATTAGAAGGATCCAACACCCTGATTATTTATAAACATACACACGCACACACACATATATGGACGTGCTACAATTATTATCATTCGATTCAGTGAATATTTTTAAAGTATTTACATGGAAAAATTCTTGGGCTATTCTTAAACATTTGAATGTAGTGTGAAACATATCGCTCGAAAAAAAGCGAATGTCAATGGCCCAAATATCCGTTACATATTCTCTATTATTATCCCAAATGTAATCTAATATCACATTTCGAGATTCCATAAAATTCCATTTACCTTTCGTAAAATATATCTGGTGTAAAGCACGATTATTCTTGAGCAAGGATGGAAGCCTCCACAGAATATTTCCTCCTATTTTTTTAGAATTATGAGGGTTTCGCAGAAAATATACAATGAAGGTCCTCTTCTTGGCATATCATCCTCATTTCCCGTATTTGGAAGGGTGTTCAGTCGCAAGTTCCAAACGAAGTAGCTGTAATGAGATTTTTCGTTGCTTCGCGGTGGTTAACCGACATAAGCTCTGCGATCTTCAAAAATAATAGCACTCTACTCCTGTAGAAACTCCATAGGAAAGAGCTGGGGACTGAAACCGATGGTTATATGAGTCATATATATGGTTATATGAGTCTGTCCGATTTTGACGTATGGTGTCTTTGTTTGGTGGCACTCTCTGGTGAAGGTTGCCCTCAGTAAAAAACTTGACAAAGTCCAATGAGTAGCATTACTGTCAATTACAGGTGCACTCAGAAGCAAACCTGTCTTCGACACCCTACTTAACTTGAAACCCTTAAGTCTATTTGTAGAGGAACAAGCAGCGAGATGTGCACTGAGAGTAATGGAATTTGGTCAATGGAGTAGTCAATTATTTGGACATTTGGCCATTATGAAGTATATGGAGAACATAGGGGGTCGGGTTTTGATCAGTGACTATATATCACCTAGGCTAGACTTCGGAATACTGGACATACACATACCTAGCAGAGACACTTGGGCCTCTCCTCTCCACTCTTCCTTTGAGCGGTATAGCTATCTATACCAATGGTTCTATGATGGAAATTGGAACGGTTGCAGGTGTTTTCTGCGAAAACCTGAATATTCGGAACTCATTCAAACTCAATAAAGACTGCAACGTATTCCAGGCAGAAATCTTTGCTGTCAGGAAAGACGTAGAATTGCTGATGAATCGAACAGTTGGACTAAATGGACCGGTGACTATATATGTGGATAGTCAAGCGGCCCTAAAAGCGCTAAATTCATCCATCATCAAAAATATTGTAGTCCTGGAGTGCAGGATTGCTCTGGAAATAGGAAAGTCCTTTATTAAGCTTTGCTGGGTTCCAGTCACAGTAACATCTCTGGCAATGAAGCTACAAATGAATTGGTAAGAAGTGGCTCCGAGTCAACTATTCTAGAGATTGAGACCTCCGTGAAGACTATTCAATACAGAGCCGTCAACAATTCTTCAGCTAACATGGATATTAAAATGGCTAAAGACAACACGATAATTTTTTAGTGGATACATCTTCTTTAACATAATCTTAATCTCTCTCTTCATTTTTTTCCTTTCACTCTAATCAGGACGTTCACAATGAACAAGCAGGTCTCCGTCATTCTCGTCATCAATAGGAAGGACAATGCGTATCCTCTAACCTAACCTAACATATCGAGAAAGTCCTAGTGTTATTTTCCTTCCAACATAACAAGAATTGGTCATTCTCGTCATCAATGGAACGAGATTGTTAACATGTAGGTTTAAGCTGGTGACAAGGAAAACAGTTAATTTCCAAGCCCAGTCTGCCAGTCTTGAAAAAAGCATTTCTTGCATTAAGAATAGTATTATGCTTTAAAATAGGGCTTATCTTATCTTATGTACTAAAAATAAGTTGGAGAAGATTAAAAAATCTCTTTATCAGCCTTCTTATCCAATATTAACATAATATTAATCTGGCTTCTGAGCTAGAAGCTTGACAAAAAGAATGACACAGGGAAATTTCACCCCATTAGGAATTTTTGGTCGTTTAAATACCGAATAAGTTACATTTTCGCTGAGATGATCCTTGGTCCTTAATTAGACAGGGAAAGATTTTGGAAAAAGTGAGTTTTACTCGTGTGAATTGGGGCTTTTTTTCCTATTGATCGTAGAATTCTTTGATATAAAAATCAAAGCATAGTTGTAATTGCCTAAATTTTCATTAAACATTTTTTGAATCATTATAAAATTCTCAATTTTCTTTGTATCCACATTATATATTTTTCGATTATTAACAAGCTTTTTTTCCTTCTATTTTATTTACAGAATTTCGTGTAATATGAAAAACACAGGAGCAACTCCCACCAATACATAAAAAAATATTATGGACATAAGGAGTCCACAATCGAAAAAGAATAAACTTTAAAAAAGTTTCCACAAAATAAAAAACAAGAAAGTTCAACAACTCGCTCTGAATAACTTGATATCTTTTAGATTATCGCAGCAAAGCAAAAATAAAACTTTTTAAACAAACTCAAATTCAAACAAAAGTCCAAGTGAAAAAAAAAAGATTTCGCGCAAAATAATCGAATCAGTGAACCAAGTGTATAAACAACAACAACATTCGCCACAACCAGAAAATAAGTGAAAAATTAAATTTTTAAATTTAGATATTATAGACCAAAAGAAATTTGCGTATTTTCCAATTTGACCAACAACTTACAACAAACTGGGACGAGGGCATGTTTAGTGGGATTGAATGTGCGTGTAAGTGTCGTCTATGGCCGAGTCCGTTAGTACTCAATCGCTCTCTGCAGTGACGGAGGGGCACGACGACAGCATAGCACATGCATCATCAAGTAGAAAAACAACAACAACAACAGCAACAACACCACTAACACCAACGACGACTCCCATCATCAATAAGGTCAAATCGAAGCGTAGTCGTCAACAGGAAAAGAAGTCACACAAACAACAGTCCTTCGGCGTCGGCAACCTTAACAATTCAAGTGCTGTTGCAACAGCAGCCTCCTCATCGCCCTCCCGCTGCTCCTTCGATAATAATAATAGTAGTATAGCTGTCGATAAACGTTCTCGCAGCAAATCACGCAGCAAGTCACGCTCCTCGGCAACACATCAAGACTCACACAACCATAGTAGCGGCATTGGTAGTGGTAGCACTTCTGCCAGAGGCCATATCAAGCCCCAAGAAGAACAATCACCATTGTTGAAAACAAAGAACAGCAACAACAACAATTTTAGCAACAAAACTAACGCCAACAAACGTGCCTCATCACGTAACTCAACATTAAACGCTTCAACATCGTCGGCAGTCTACTCGCCAACTTCGCCCATAACACCGCCACCCACAAATCGTGTAGAACGTAAACGCCATCACCACGTTGAAAAGGCCACAACTTGTAAGTATACAAATATGCATACATACATACATACAGATGTACTGTAGGTACCTGCTATATAGCTTTTCATTGTTGTTATTATTGTTGTTGTTATAATTATTAACATTCATATTTTCCATCTATGTTTGCAATTCATTTGAATTTTTAATTTCATTTCATGTTTAAAGTTGATATTTTAATGCGAAACAGCAACAAAAGAAAAAACAATACACGTGGAGTGGAATGGAAAGGAAAGGATACGATACTATGTACAATATGGGTTAGGATAGAAATTTGCTTAATGGAATAAACCCAGAGTCCAGTCTGCAATGAGATCACCCCGTATATTTTCATTGGTGAATAAGGAGTAATAGGATTATTTTTTTTAATAATTTAAAAGTTAGTGATTTTGTTGTTCTAAAATAGACAGGCTCAATGGCATTGTCGTTGTATTCTACAAAAAAAAAAAAAAAAAAAAACATTTATCTATTGGCGAAGAAAATGGTAGGGAAGACCTTGTATTCGAAAGGAGAAAGGAACCATGATTAGAGGTTCTCTTGGTTTGGAGTTATTTAGAAAAACACCCAATGTATACCCAAATAACGACCACAAAAAAGGAGCTTAAGAAACAAAGTAAACCAGGATGTTATTAACATTTCTTTCTTCCCTATTTTCTGTTGCATAAACGAAATCAGCATAACTGTTGGCTTTGTTTATTAATACAAATAATCATTTTCGACCATGCCTTGTTGAGGTTCATTTATTGGGATAATGTAATTCTGAACCCATATGTTGTATCCTTCATAGAATCAATAGAAACATGTACTAAAAATACAATTTCTCATAGTGATCCCATATCAATTTTATTGGAAAAATTATTAGTCATTAAATTTAAAAACACATTTTTTAGACAAACGTAACACCTTTAGAGCAGCATTATACTTTCGTCCTTATGGTTATAGAAACGACTAAAAAATGGTCCATCGAAAAGTTATAGGATGAGCAGTTGACTTTTTGTACAACCGCTTCCCTAGAAGACATATTTTCCATTGCGTTCATCCTAAATAAAAAAGAAAGGAAAATAACGAGGACATAGAAGAGAAGAATTGAAATATAAATAGAGCAATGGTGAGGGTAAAGAAGAAAAGAAAAGGGAAGAAAAGTTTCTTTCTGAATATAGAATAATTCAATTATCGCGACTTTTTATCCACTTGAATCTTCTGGTCAGTTGAAGAGTCATACTAGTTCTGTCTGGGAGAAGAAATACAGATCGTCGTTAATTACTTCTCTCTTATGTGTAAAGGTGAGAATACATTAAACGCTATTTTGACTTGCTAAAGTCATCGGCTGGCTTCTTCGTAGAGGAACAAAGGAGTTTTAGGTTGACTTAGGTCGATTTTGGTCCTACGTTCCTTGTTCTTTCCGAAGAAGCCAGCCGATGACTTAAGCCAATCAAAAAAGCGTTTTATGTATTCTCAGCTTAGGCCTTACACCGAACAGTATTAGACAATGGCACAGCAAATGTTCAACATTTTCAGTCTCCTCCCCGTGTCTACAGAGATCTTGTTCTCTCCCAAGTTTGGGCCGGGTTTAGACCCCATGTCTCTTTGGACGAAATGTTTTTCAGAATATTCGGATTCGATCTATGAATCCCTTCGTCCTCACAAAGCCTGTAGTAATCAATGTGATCGTCCTGCCTGAAAGTCATGGCTTTTACCTTGCAGTGATCTGTTTTAATTCCCAGCACAAGTTTCGCAATGGAGATATGCGATTTCGTTTTTCTCTGAAGAGTGTTGGCCATAATGTCTTAGAGACATGTGGCACCCCCTCTCATTTATCCAGTTTAAGGCCGGGTTTAGATCCTATGTCTATTTTGACGAAGATATTTCCACGACAACTGGAGTCGATTTAGGTCGGGCCGGCTGGTGTCAACAAAAACCCTCGAAAGGGGTATTCAATTTGTTTCAAATTTGATACTTCGTTTAAATGTATAATATACTCAAATCGTATGTAGGTTTGGTTAAGGTAAAGGATGCACAGTGGCTTAGCAACCGCTCCATTTGGAGACCTGCTGGTCTATTGTGATCATCCTGATTAGAGTGAAAGCAAAGGAAATGAAGAGATAAAGAGGTTACATATGTTTGAGCAGAAGTATCCACGAAAATTTTATCGTGTTGTCTTTAGCAATTTTAGTCTTCTGGCTAGCTGAAGAATTGTAGATGGCTCAGTATTGGAGAGTAAAGACAGATCATACAGAGTTTGCTTATCCGTGAGTTTCTGTCTGGCTCTAAAAAGAGTTGGACACTGACAGGGTACGTGTTCCGCAGATTCTATCTCTTCCTCATCTTGACAAAGCCTGCGATAGTCAGTATCTTTTAGGTTTTAAATAACCTTTATTTTTTCAAACACATTCCGAAATATGATAGGCGACCTATTTTTCCCTTTCCCTTTTTGAAACTGACCTTACATAAAAAATAGGATCCCTGGCCCCTTTATCAGTTCTACAACAGTTTGAATTTTAAATTAAAAGTCGTAGTAACAATGACGCGTCTGTTCCTTTTTATATTTCCAAGTGTTTGTCAGGTTTTCTAATCGAAACAACCACCCATTCATTTATCATATGTGCCTGCCTTTGTCTAGCCTTTGTTATCTACCACCCAATAGTTCTTTGGTAATAAGTTGATAGTTTTATGTCTTATCAGTGTCTTTGTTCTCCACTTTCCATGCTTTCACACATTGAATTGGGAATTGAAGTTGTTTTACGCTCATTTATTTATAAACTTTAAAATACAATAAACGAATTAGCCGTGGGGTGGTTAGTTACAGTATTTTCTTTGACCTTGAAATTGTCCACAGTCATTACAGCCCAATTAGCTGAATTACTTAGCTTCAAATATTTTGTAAACAAAACAATTATAAATCTCGTTGCACCACAATTTATAAACATAGATTTTTAAAAAAAATATATATATAACAAATGTTTTATTTTTATCTTTTGCAGCAGCCACAACAACTTCAACCGGTAGTAGTGAACATCCTACAGATTTATCATCGCCTTTAAAGAAACGTCGCTACAATAATTACAACAACAGCTCACAGGACATTGAATCGACGCCACTTTCGACAACAAGTGGAAACAGCAGTGCCGCCAGTGGCAGTAAATTTTCTACACCCAAAAAGAGCAAGAAGGAACAACGGCGAGGTGATTGTGTAGCACAAAGAACTCGTTCGAAAACTGTCTCACCCGAAGAGCCATCGACCAGCAGTGGTGGTGGTGGTGGGATTAGTATTAACCACAGCAACAGCAGCAACAATCATCGGCGCTACACAAAGGCAATAGCGTCGTGTATAGATCCAGCCAGTTCGTCGGCAGTAACACAACGCAGTTCAACAAAGGCAAAGCCGAATAGCAGCAACGGCAACAGCGCCAGCACCAGCACCAGCAAGAGCAATTTATTGAATTATTATCGTAAAACTCGCAAAGTCAGTCATAGTCGTTCGACAACCACAACAAAGAAGAGAAGCAATAGCGCACAGCGACCAAGTGCAGCCGGTGCGGGAGCATTTTCTTCGGCAACTACTACTGGTTATTTGAATAGCATTGCATTTGCTGAAGATAACGACGACGAAGACGAGAACGAGAACGAGGAGGAGAGCACCGACAACAGTGACAGCGGTGAAACTGAGCGCCAACGACGACGTGAGCTAAGCAAAAAGCAAACAAAAACAAAAGTCGCAGAAAAATACAAATTCAAGTCGTCCCTTGGAGCGTCAAGACACAGGCAGCGGAATTATCGAAATCAAAATAAAAGTTCCACCGCCAGCGGCAGTACATCATCATCGTCATTGTCGTCTTTGTCGAGGCGTGATAATAAGAAAAAACAACAAAAACAGCATTTAAGTGAATGTAGCGGCGGTGATAAGAGGCAACAACAACAACAGCAGCACATCAATAATAACAATAACAAGAACTTCTTATCAGTTGTGGGAAACAAAGCTAAATTAAACACAAAATCACCATCTACGTCGTCTGGAATAACAGCCGCCGCAGGAGGTTCAATACTACCACCGCCGCCGCCATCAGCGTCATCAACGTCAGTTGCCACCACAAGCCGTTCGGCAACATCACCCACATCATTGCATTTGGATAAAATCTCCAAATATCGTAAAAATCTCAGAAATTATCAAACATTTTTGAATAACTTGAGTAGCGAATTGAACGATTCTCAAGAAGATTTAACCGAATCTGTAGGAGACAACAACGCCTCCGCCTCCAATAATACAGGTGAACGTTCAAACAATTCCAATTCGGTGTATTTCGATAAAGAATTGTTGGCGGTTTTAACAGCTGATATTGACTCCATTGGGGATAACGATACTGAGGGAGTTATCGAAGAAGAAGGAGAAGAGGAGGAGGAGGACGACGACGAATTAGGGGAGACGGGTAACAATATCATTGGCATCGACGGCGACGAGCCTTCTGCCAACAACGAAGGCGAGGACGACGACGTTGTTGAAGAGGAGGAGGAGGAGGACGACGAAGAAGAAGACGTCGACGACGAGGAAATTGAACTTTTCGGCGACGAAGAGGAAGACGACGAAGACATTGAAGACGAAGAGGATATTGACGACGACGAAGACGACGACGAAGAAATCGAAGAGGAGGAAGAAGATATTGCCGACGAAATAGAAGATTCTGTCGCTGCCTTTGGAGGTAAGTCAGCAAATTCGTTTATTTACCTACCTAGACAAATATTATGTTTTAGCATCTCCTAAGGGGGGATGCTGCAGTGGTCACATTTTTTTTCGTACACGAACAAAAAAAGTATGCCTGTGACCAGCAACAACAACAAGAGTTTTTAATTTTTTTCCCCCTTACTACGACGATACATTTCTTTGTTCTCTGTATATTTGTCTGTCCGTCCGTCCGTCAGTCGGTCGGTCGTTCATATGATCGCCTTTTAGCAATTCAGTTTGTATTTTATTTTACCAAGTATCTCTCTCTATCTTTCTATCTATCTATCTTGCTCTCTAGTTTTGTTTTTAGTGCTGTATTTATTTAATTATTTATCAAATACTTGTTTATTGCCATAAAATTTATATGCATTCCAGTATTGAATTGTGTATGTTTGTGTGTTGTGTTTTTTTTATTTTATTTTCAATTCCATATTCATTTAAAAACGACTGACAAGAAGAGAACAAAGTGTATTCCGTCCGTGTATCCGTGCTCCAAGTGTGTGATGTGAATTATGCCTTTTTTTGTTTGAATATTGTTTATATTATTTATTTTTGTTGTTGTTCTTTTATTTTACTTTTACTCTGCTCTTGCTATCTATCCGTCTGTCTATCTTGGCCCCCACCACAAGTGTACACACATGCAAACAGCGTATTGATCTCTTCTCTCCTCCCTAATATGTTTAAAGATATGTATTTATTTATTTATTTTTTCTTTAATTGAAATATTCATTGATTTTTCTTTGTGTTGTCTGTCGGTCGGTCTAGTCGCGTCCTAGTTGTTGGAAATGTAAAGGGTAGGTAGGCAATCGTCATTTTAATTGATTTCCAGTTGAAAAATAATAAATACCTACATTGACATTCGTGGTTTTATGGAAGAGAGCTAGTCGTTTGCCAGTTTGTCAGTCAGTCAAGGGCCATTGCACGACGACGTCTATAAACAGTAGATGTAAACCAGTCAATAAGATGTTTGTTGTCATTTATTGGCTGACTGGTTGGGGGATGGTAAAGGGGTGTGAGAAGGTCTGAGGTTGTGGTAATCAATGACAAAAATAATGCAAATTTTTATTGTGACAACATTGACATATCATCCGTTTATAGAGAGGTGGAGCTGGGTAGATGTGGTGAGTGGTTGTCACACTGCTGTTGTGTTTGTTTTAATTATATATTTGGAGATACATTTGTGTGTTTTCCTTTTCATTTAAGACTCGATGTGTCATTGCTCTTGGGTCATTGTTCTCAATTTCAAATCAACAAATAAGTTGTCGTCACGTATTAAAGGCCTAATTTTAAGATATAATATTCAATTATTTGTGCGCAAAAAATTAAACAGATCATCGTCAAACACACACACAGTGTAATATATTTAAATTGAAATGTGTAACGGCGCCAGATTACTGGTTTCACAGCAACAACAACAAGAACAGAAACAAAGTCATGGATTAACTCTGTTGTTTGCTGTCATAAAACATGGGGATTTTTCCATCTGGAGTTGTATAGTTTAAAAGGTTATCACATACCTCTCTCTTTGTGTAACGGAAGGGAGCAAAAGTGTTGCAAATTTTAATGGAATATGTGTTAACTCCTGGCACTGTTGTTTATTTCTATCAAGTAGCAGTTGAGGTATATGGGTTTAACTCAAATTAAAATAAACTCGGCTAATAAGTGAGACATAAATCTTCAGTAAGCAGTTGGGATAGGCTTGACGGGCAATTGAAAGGAAGGATATAGGGTAGTGTGTGCACCTGAACTTCATGTTCTGTATAGATTTTTATACCCTTCACCACATAGTATTTTTGCATTTATTTGTAACATGGAGAAGGAAATGAGATAGACCCATAGTTCCTTTTGAGGATCTTCATTGAATCACTTTCTGAGTCGATTTCCGTCCGTCCATCTATATTTTCTTGCGAACAATATCCAAGGCGCATTTATTTTCCGATTGATATGAAATTTTCCAAACAATATTTGTTTGGCCCAAGGACGAACCCTATTGACATTGGTGATAATCGGATCAGATTTGGATATAACTCCCACGGCCAATATCAGTCCAAATGACCTGAATTTTGGTACATCCGACCGAATTCAGTCTAGAAGCAAATACATCAGAATTTGGTGTAAATCGGTTCAGATATAACTATAGGTCTCATATATATCTTTCATGCGAATTAGTGTTTAAGTCCCTCACATGCGTAATATGCACAATAATATTTGATACAAAGCATCATATACTGCTCGAAAATACCCCTGCCAAATTTTTTAGAGATCGGTTCAGATTTTACGGTTATTGTTCACCATATATGTAATATCAGCCCAAATTGCATAGATTTTTTCATGTTCAACCAAATTTAACCATATGGTGAAACTCGGTCCGGTATATCCGGTGTAGGGTATCTTATAGTCGTCATACTCGATATTGGACCTTTCCTAACTAGTTCCACGTTTTTCTTAATCCATGAATTATATTGATTGTCAAGACTGCACCATCCTGAACGTTGATTGGCCAAATGTCCCTGGTTTGTCAATGCAGAATATGTTCTTTAGCTGCAGAGCTTGTTATAGCCATATCGTGATTTTGAGACACAAAACATAACCACACAAAGGTGGCTTCACCGAGTTCTCGATATCCATATTATTTGACTCGGATCCATGTTTTTCAAGTTCTCTGAGTCTCAGGGCGCACCTGATTGCCTGTTCTTTTACAAATAAACTTAAGGGATTTAGGTAAAATAAAGTGTCCAGTGCAATTTGTTCTCTGAGTCTCAGGGCGCACCTGATTGCCTGTTCTTTTACAAATAAACTTAAGGGATTTAGGTAAAATAAAGTGTCCAGTGCAATTTGGTATGTACTCCGAAATGCACCTGTGATGAATAGTGATGCGATTCTTTGAATTTTATCACTGCTTCTCTTAAAAGATGATTTCCCAAAAGAGAGCTCCATAGGTGAGAATCGGACTTACGATTGATTGATGAATCCATATATTTATATGCGGTTTTCATAAAGTGCGATTTCGCGTTTTTTTCTGGTGTTCTTTCAAGTTAGTTAATGGTCAAGAACAGTACCGAGATATTTGGCTTCCGAGGAGAACCTTAACGTGACTCCATCTAGCATATGTGGCGCAAATTCTGGGAGCTTTCGTTGCCTCTTACAAAGATGTGATATAATTAAGAAATTTTCAACTACATGGCCTTAGTATGTAGACAATTATAGCTTTTATATGTATAACAATTTTAACTTTAAAAAGTAGTACTGAATTGTTTATTATTATGATTTTTTATTATAATGACCTTTTTCCTACCATACCGAACGTTACATACCATATAGTGAGTCTGTGTGTCATATACCTTTTATGATAGAATACCATGGCTTGATTTTGCTACCTCGGCGATCCAAATGCGTTTAATTTTTATAAATGGAAAATCAATGAATATTTCAATGTTGTTAATATTTTTTTTTCGTATGTTTTTGTTAATATTTTATGTAAATAAGTATTATTTAAGCTTAATTTGTTAATTTTATGAACAGAAAACAAAACTCTTTTTGGTCCAAATTATTCCCTATGTAGTTTAGGTTAAATCTACTCTTCCCCTTTTCATTGAACAATTGCTTTAGATTACCCCGGTAAAACAGTGCTGTCACCTTTTTTCGCTGGAAAATGAATAAAGAAACCACCTAACAAATTCCAAGGTGTAGAACGAAATGTTAGATAAAATTTCAGATTTTTACAGCAAAAATGTTATTATAAGCCTTCCGTCAAATAGTATATGGCGGCGTTATTGGAAAACTGTCTGTACCCCCCCTATTTATATATCAGAGTTTCCCTGTATATTGCCCCCCAGGTTTTTGTGTTATGTTATTTAAGCCCATTTACTCATTCACCCTCCACCCAAAACACACACATACCATACAAGAAAAGTCCTACAACATAACTTATTGCATTGTAAAAAAAAATACAATTCTTATCATAGCTTTAAAAAAAAACCTTATTTGGAAGATCTACTAGCCCCTTACCGCCCCATCATGCCCATTAATCAACCATATACCCTTTATTTTGTCATATCTCCCCCCAAACAAACATTTATAACTATCTATACTCCACTCCACCCCACCACCATCACTACCATCATTCATGTCTTAGTCACAATCCAAAATGGAGTCAACATTAAAACACTTTTAAGTGCATTTTAATAATACAACAACAGAAACAATAACAAAAACAACAACAGCCATGATTTGAAATTAATTTTTGTGCTAATTTTGCTGTTAATTTCTTTGTAACAACTGCCTGGTTTGTATTATTGCATTAATTTGTTGTACTTGCATTTTATTATAATTAAATCATGTTTTGACGTGCATTTGTTTGTTTTAATGACAAATTCAATTTGTTTAAATGATGTAAGAAAAGTAAGAGGGACGCCCCCTCCCCCCTAACCACCACAAGTGAACAAATTTCCAGGATATTTATAATAACCACACTGAGATTTTTGTCCATCTAGGCTTCTGACTTCAATACAAATTTAATATTATTTATTTAGGCCACATAATAAATACATTAATGTAACACTTTTTATACAACGGAGGTGGCAGCTCTGGCAGACGATGTAATAACGTAACGTGTGTGTTGTGAACCCAAACATCTTGAGGAAAAAAGCATTTTTGAGTGATTTGTTTTTTTACAATTTTCATTTCTTGAAAAAAAAAAAAAAATGAAATAAAATCAAAAGAGAAACAATCAAAAGAAACCAAACACCACTGACTGTTTGTTTTCTCAATCTATTATCGTGTTTTTATTATTAAATATATATATAGAGTTAATTTCCATAATTTGTTTTCCTTAATCAATTTTCTTGGATTTATATACGTACATACCATACATCCTTTATATATAGCATATATACCATGCATAAAGTCACCTAGTTGTTTATCATTTAATAACAAAATTTTGTTTTACTTTTGTTTTCGGCAAAATTTATAATAAACGTGGATAACATGACATGATTGATGAATGTGTCTCTTCTCTATGACTAGCATTAAAGATGTTTGAATTGCAAAAAAAAAAAAAAAATTTTTTTTGATTTGATTGGAAATTAAAACTTGGGTTTAAAACATTAATTGAAGTTTTCCCTTAAAAAAATTGTAGTTTAAGCCCCATATATTCTGAAGTTTCCTAAGGAACCACCAACAAATCTCATCGGTTGGCTAGGTGGTTTGTTTAAAGATATTTTCCCAGGAGTTATTTAAAACAACTTCCTCTCTGACAATTTTGAAAAAAAAAAAAACGTTTGAAAAAGCGAAACGAAAGAACGAATTTGGAAAATTGTATACCCTCTCCAATGTAAAAACTTGACGTATGGCCAAACATCCATCATTTCTTGGAAGAACCATTATTTGGGGACTAGACCTATATACTAGATACTATCTTTTATGTATATAAACTACCTACTGAGAACCCGAAATGTTTAATCGGTTAGAAATCGAGCTTTATTGGGACTTCAACAGAAGGAGATACCGACAGTCTGGCACGGTTATACCGATATAGAATTTTACGCTGATCTTCAAAATGTATACTTTACATGATCTCCGACGTTGCCTTTTCCACAATATTTGCACAATCATATCTAAAGAACTAGCATTTAAATTCTAACTTCATACGTTCTTATATTTCATTACTGGATCTACAGTGAAGGCGAGAGACATTCCTCCTTGTATCTTTTCCAAATTTTTGGTCCATTTGAACACCTAAAGATACTAGCATTAACAATAATCGCGGTTAAGTGGATATTTTCGTATTTTTTACATAGAAGTTATTGTCTATTTTATCCGCTAAATATTGTCCGATCTCCCATTTGAAACCCTAAATATTATGCGTTCATCTCCAAAAAGTTTCTTTTTCTGACCCTAGCCCTACCTCCATGTTAAATTTCGTGAGAATCTGGTCATAATTGCGACCTGTAGAGTGAATACAAATTAACATGGACAGACGGGCAGACATACATAGCTATATCGATTCAGCTCGGCGAGAAAGCAAGATCCATATGTCGGGGACCAATATTTCGAGGTGTCACATAATTTTTGGCCCAATTAAACTTAAAATACCCCGAAAACATCTGTTGTAGGGTATACAAACTGAGGAATATTTCGATTTAACTGAAATTTCGCACTTATTTATATCAGGCAGGTGCATAAATCTGCAACATCTGCCCACTCCTTCTGTTACCAACACCAAAAGGGGTAAAATTGGGAAATTATCGTCAGATTTCCCTTCTATTATTACATGAATTGGTGTAAAAATATATCCCGATATATCCCACATATCGGTCCAGTTTTACGCTACCTCCCGACAAATGAGTAAAATTTTGAAAAATAATAAATCACATAGAATGGCGAAACGAGTTAACGATTTATTCCAATCACGCATATGCCAAGTGTGGAAAATTGACAAAATCGCTTCACATCTTCTCTGCTGGGGATTATACCGAAAGATTGGTTTTTCAAGCTTCAAACCAGTGGAAATTCAATGTTTGTTTTTTTTGCTTATAAAACTGAACATCTTTTTTTATAGAAAAGAGAATTTACAGCACAATTTCTGTCCATGTCATTCCCATGTTTCCCTTCAATTAATTTGTACCAAGAAAATATAACCTAAAAATTTCAAATTGAACTAAAACAAAAACCCAAAATCAAAAACAAAAAAAAAACTATATATTTCTAACACCTGTGTGTTTTAAATAATAATGACACCCTAAATTCCCCAAAAATAATTCCAAATCAAGGTAAAAGGCCACAACAAAAACAACAACAGCATCAGCAGGAAAAATCTCAACCACTACCACTGAATCAACGTGAAGAAGAAGAGGACGACGACGACGACGAAGTCGAGGAAGAGGAACAACGCAACAACCACCACAAAAATAAACTAGAACAACCAACCAAACAAAGACGCAAACGTTTATTGAAACGACGACGTCGTAACACTTTAAAGCAAGCCAATCAAGAAAATTTCAAACTACAACTTCAACAACAACAGCAGCAGCAGCAGCAGCAGCAGCACCAGCAACAACAACAGAGACACAAACAAAGACATCGTTTTAAGCGTAGTGGTGGTCTCAAAGTTCGGAGCAACTGTCGCACCAGCTCCAGCCAATACATCACAAGCAACAATAACAATAACACCACCACTTCTCAGGTGGTCGTAGGAGTAGAAACCCGTGAAGAAATTACTACTTCTACGTCGTCACAACAAACAGCTACAACGACGGGCTACAATAGAGCCCCGAATCTGGGGGCACGACAAACACGCAGCAGTGGTGGCAGTGCAAGCACTAATACCAATACAGCTAGCAATAATACAGATTACAATATAGGTGTACACATCGGTGGCGGAGGAGGCGGAGTCGGAGTTGGAGCAGGAACAGGAAGCGGTGGCATTGGCAACGGTTGGAACCACAACGGATCAACAATTATTGGCGGAGGACCAGCACATACAGCAGCGGGTACTTCAACAGGAGTGACACCCCAGCTCATTGCTGGAGGATCCGGATTCAACCATAATTTATTAAATCGTGGTGGCGGTGTTGTTATAGGACCACCCCCACCACCGCAATTAACTACAGCCCCCGGGGTACTAACGAACGGCATTGGCACCGGCAATCCACAGCCGTCGCAACATCATCCCACTTTAATTACTGCCGCAACTTCAAACCATTTCCCACAACAACAACAGCAGCAGCAGCCGTCGTCACATCATACAGCTCATTTGCTACAGCAACAACAACATCAACACCAAGGACAAGGATCTCATACGCATTATTTAAGTCAACAAACCACAGGACCAACCTTCTACACAAATCATCATCAGACAGCGGCTCATTTGCAAGCTCCACAACCGCCACCACAGCAAGTTCACTTCTTCCAGACGTATCAGACAGCTGGAACGTCGGCTTCATCGGCTGCCATATTAAATTTAAATTTGAACTCATATCAAGCAGCAGCAGCCGCGGCTGCGGCAGCCAATAACTCAGGTGCTGCCGTGGTAAATGGTGCACCTCTAATCTATCAGGTACAACCACCACCAGGAGCTGGGCAATCACAGGCTACGCTACTGGCACAAACCCAAAGTGGCGGAACAACACGTTACCATCACCACCAGCAGCAACAACACCATCATCATCAGGTTCAGACAGGAACAACAGCGCCAGCAGCACCACCGGTGAATCTACATCTTACACATCATCAAACACAGAGTGGTGGTCACTTGCAGCAGCAGCAACCACAACAACAACACAACCCACCGCCACCACCCACGGCAATAGAATTGACTTTGAGTGCTACGCTACCGGTCCCCGTTTCTCACGACACCACACCAAATCCCGGTGGCCTTGTCTATCACGCCACCAATTACGGACCCAGCAGTGCTCTTCATCATCATCAGCAGCAACAACAACAACAAAATTCACACACCTTAAGACGCAGTTCACGAAGCAAAACGGGTTCTTGTGTCAGTTCGGTGCAGGGCCAGCAACATCACGGCAGTGCGAGCAGCAGCTGCCTCGGTGGCAATAGCAGCGGCGTCGTTGGCTCAACAAATCACCGCCCAGCTGCCACAAATAACGCAGCCAGCCTACCCGTTGTTGTGGGCCATCAGTTGTTGACAACAGCAGCAGTAGCAGCGGCGCAAAACCAGCAGCAGTCTGTAAACGCCGGCCACCATCTTCACCCGCATCATCAGCAGCAGCAGCAACATTTAGGACCGCACCTCACACATCCACCTGCACCACCACCTGTTTCCCATCATCCAACACCACCGTCTCTACACCACCATCACCACAACCAGGCGCCGCCGCCACCGCCACCTCAACATCATCACCACCATCATCATCAAAATCTAGCAACATCCGGCGGTGCTGTTGTCGTTGCCATAGCCCAACAACAGCAACAGCCACCCCAGAGTCACCTGTTGCACACAGCGGTTGCAACACATCCACACGCACTGTTGCAACAACGTACGACGGTTGTTCAGCCGGGCTTTTTGTACAGCTATCGTCCCACAAATAGTTCTTCGACAACAAATAACAGTGGTTTGGGTACAACATCATCGTCGTCAAGTGCTGCCACCAACGTCGTCGTGCCCCCATCTACAAATAATCCCCCCACCTCATTCCACTTGGCCACTCATCAAAATTCGAATAAAACAAACAATTCTGGTAAGTGTTGACGTTTGAATTTTTTGCAAAGTGTGATTCTCGGTTGTAGTGAAATGAAACAACGACAACAATAAAAATCAAATCGCCAACACTTGAAGAAGAAGAAAAATGTAGGGGGGACTCTGCTGGAAGGGTTGTAATTGTTTTCCTTTTACAGTGGAATGTTCCATTCTGGGGGGATGGTGGAATGAAAAGAAAAAGCCACCGTGTGGGGGGTTATTGAAATGAAAATTCCAATTCACATTGAAATGGAGTATAATATGGATTTTGGGGGGAATTCTCAAGTCATTAGGTCAAAACATTGATATTGGCTTTAGGTGGTTTATATTTTAAACAGCCAGAGCCTTTTGTATTAGTCTTCACAAGCCCTACAAACATCCCTGTACATTTGTATTTAAAGCGGGTGTTGGTTTCAGGTTCGTTTTTTGTATATACATATACTGAAAGAAAAAAAAAAACTACACACTCATGGCCCCCTCCAAATCTGCCCCCTCCCTCCAACAGTAAGTCATAATCCAATCCCTCCCCTAACAAAAGAAAACTCCTCTACAAAATACTCTTAAGAATTTATAATTTTACTTTCTGTTTTGCATGCGTTTCTTTTTCTTTGTTTTGTTCTGAAATGTTATCATTAAATATTGATTTGTTTGAAAAATATTTGAAAAAAAAAACTTATCAAACATATTTATGTTTTTTCATGAAACTGCTCGCTCGCTCGATCTTCTTCTTGTTGTTATACTTCAAAAACATATTCTGCTCTCTCTCTCATTGTCGATTTTGTGTACGTCCTCTCTTTGCCTACCAATGTTCAATCCATCCAAAATCATAATTATTGGTATCGAAAAAAAATCAGCTTCTGCGGATGCCTTAAGCTATACTTTAATGGCACAACAACAACAACAACAATCATCTAATAGTGGAACAGCCTTACAACAACTGCCACCTACAGCAAACTCAGCAGCGTCCAATACAGGTGGACAAACAGGTAATGCTTCTCCAGGTAACCAATGTCAAATTATGCTCTTCCAACCCGCTCCTCCTCCCCCTACTCATCATCGTCTCCACCCAATCATTTCGAAATCATCCTCAAATTTTGTCCTTTGTGTGAGGGTTTATTTTTAAGTTTCATTCATTATGTTTATCTCTCATTATGTTTTTATTCCTGGCTATTTATTCAAAAAAAAAATATTCGAAATTTACCACTACACTTACATGTTTGTTTAGCAGCACAATTATTCTTTTTTAACTGTAGAAAAACGGAAAATTTGAAAAAGGTGACAGCACACTTATTATTTTTAATACAAAATTGATTCACTTTTAATTTGATATTTGAAATTATTTTGTAGATTTTATGTTATTATGTTTTGTAACGTTTTATTTATTTTTTTATTTTGTTTTTTAGTTAGCATACTGTATTTAGAGCCCTTGTTTATTAATATCACTTCTACTACTACCCTGTATATACGGAAATTGCCTAAAAAACGAACCCGAAAAGTAGGCTACACAAAAAATTGGTCATCACTAGTTTTTGTTGTAGGTTTTCGGATAATGAAACGCAAGTGGCTAGACGTCTTGCGACTTATATAGTTGATCCACATAACTGAGTTAAACACCACTCGGTTGCTCTCTCTCTCTCTCTCTCTATAAAATGTCCTCTCCAATACTAATTCAATAAATGCTTGGCCTAATGCCAACAAAATATCGTTCTTGGGTGAAGGGTGTTGTTAACCAATTAAAAAAACATATATATTTACACAATATTCAATTAAATAATTTTGAATATTCAATTCAAAGGTTTTGCATTTGAAGTTTGAACTATTCGCCAAAGGTACTTTTGACGAAATTTCAGCGCTCCAATTCAGCTTCAAAAGTAATCTTTTTGAATTGCAAATTGCAGTATTACCTTTTGTGACACCCAAATAATTGCCAATGCCAAAAATACTAATTTCCCCATTTTCTCTTTTCCAGCCTCGTTAAGCGTCACCAACGCCTTGGGCGGCACAACGTCTTCAGCTACCAACAACTCCGCTACAGCAACCGGTGCCAACGCCAGCAACACCAACGCAACGGCTGCCAATAGCGGAGGTGGTGTTAACAATACAACAGCAACGGGGGCAGGAGGAGGCACCACAACGTCGTCATCAAATAATGCCGCCGCCAACAGTGCCAATTCTCATGGCGATTCAGAGAGCGATGACAGCGAGGTGGGGCGACTGCAGGCATTACTGGAAGCTCGCGGTCTGCCACCACATCTCTTCGGTGCATTGGGCCCCCGCATGACACACATTCTGCATCGCACCATTGGCAATAGCAGTACATCGAAGGCGCAACAACTGCTCCAAGGTCTGCAGTCACATGACGAAAGTCAACAGCTACAGGCCGCCATCGAAATGTGTCAAATGCTGGTAATGGGCAATGAGGATACCTTGGCCGGTTTCCCCATAAAACAAGTTGTCCCCGCATTGATAACCCTCTTGCGCATGGAGCATAATTTCGATATTATGAACAATGCCTGTCGTGCTCTGGCCTATATGTTGGAAGCCTTGCCACGTTCATCGGGAACGGTGGTGGATGCTGTACCAGTATTTCTGGAAAAGTTACAGGTCATCCAGTGCATGGATGTGGCCGAGCAGAGTTTGACGGCATTGGAAATTCTGTCAAGACGTCACAACAAGGCCATACTACAAGCCAATGGTGTCTCAGCTTGCCTCACCTATTTGGATTTCTTTTCGATTAACGCCCAGAGGGCCGCTTTGGCCATCACCGCCAACTGTTGTCTGAATCTGCACAATGAAGAGTTTCATTTCGTCTCGGAAAGTTTGCCACTTCTGGCCAGACTGTTGGCCCAGCAAGACAAGAAATGTGTGGAAAGTGTATGTTCGGCCTTCTGCCGCCTCGTCGAGAGTTTCCAACACGATCCCAAACGTTTGCAGGAAATTGCCAGCAAAGAGCTACTCAAGAATTGCCAACAATTATTGGTGGTTACACCGGCGTTACTTAATTCTGGCACATTCACCGCCGTCGTGCGTATGCTGAGCTTAATGTGTGCCAACTGTCCTGACTTGGCCATTTCTTTGCTGAAGAGTGATATTGCATCTACACTACTGTATCTATTGACGGGGAATGCAGATCCTTTGCCCAAATCAGCCTCCACTCACGTGGATTTAATCTCACGTTCGCCATCGGAGCTGTATGAGATCACATGTTTGATTGGCGAATTGATGCCACGACTGCCCACAGACGGTATATTTGTGGTCGATGCATTGTTGGATCGTCCCACCATCAATACTCACGATCAAGTTCAATGGCAGTGGCGAGATGATCGCGGCACCTGGCACAATTATTCGGCCATAGATTCACGCATGATCGAGGCAGCACACTTAAATTCCGAGGATGAGTTCAGTTTGAGCACCTTGGGACGCACATACACCGTGGATTTCCATTCAATGCAGCAGATCAATGAAGACACTGGCACAACCAGACCCGTACAGAGGAAAATCAATCCAAATTATAGGCCACCACCGAGTACCAGTAGTACAACCTCGTCGTCTGCTGGTCAAGATTTGTCAGCCTCGGCGGTGGCTTCTGCCATAACGGCTCTAAGCAACACTGTAACGGCCACAGCCACGGGAGGTACAACGCCGATAACCACGTCTTCGTCGTCATCATCGTCATCGCAAAAGCGACGAGCTTCTGTTGATGCTCGCATAGCTTGCCTTAAGGAGGAACGTGGTTTGGCTGCAGAGTTCATAAAGAACTTGTTTAATGTCCTCTACGAAGTCTATAGCTCATCGGCCGGTCCCAATGTCCGCTACAAATGCTTGCGAGCTCTCCTACGCATGGTCTACTATGCCTCATCGGAGCTGTTAAGCGAAGTTCTAAAATACCAACTGGTATCCAGTCACATAGCTGGCATGCTTGGCAGCAATGATTTGCGCATTGTGGTGGGTGCTCTACAAATGGCCGAGATACTTATGCAAAAGCTACCCGACATCTTTGGCACACATTTCCGTCGCGAAGGTGTCATCTATCAAATTACCCAACTAACAGATCCAAACCATCCAATATGTTCTAATCCGTCGCCCAAACCCTTGGCCACAAATATGTCCGCCAGCGGTTCACAGAGTGCGCCGGCCTCGGCATCCAGTCTGCAAGTGAATCCCTTCTTTATGGATAATGTGCCACCGTCACAGGGAAGTGCATCCGCCTCGGGCACTCCAAATACATCGAAACCACATCACCAGCAACATCCGTACACCATGAAGACCTTTTCGCATGCCATGAATGCTCTGACAGCAGCAGCGGCTCAGCAAAGCACTTCGTCGTCCGGAGGTTCGTCCGGTTCTCCAGGGCAGAAAATGCCCTCATCCATGGCTATGAATATTAACACAAGTGGTGGCACCCCGGCCCATCAGAATCCCGGAGAAGTTCAATATCATTACAGCTCTTCGGCACCGGCACCACACACCCATTTGGTGGCGCATCATCCACAGCCGCACCCGAATTATTTCGTTTACACTACGGCGCAACAGCAGGCAGCACAGCCACCTTTGCCACCACCGGGAACCGAGTATGTGGGCTACCATCAGTTACCTCCACCACCACCACCCACGACGACGGTGCATTATGGCCAGCCACCACCACCACCGCCATCCTCAATGGGCAATGCAAACCAACAACAGCATACGCAATACCACAACATGGCCACAACTCCACATGGAGGAGTGGCAGCTACAACATCGACTCCACCCTCCTCATCGTCATCTTCGTCATCCGTTTTGCCACACAAAATGAGTGATATGTTGAAACGCAAAGTCCCACCGAAAAGAAAATCACAATCGACCAGCCGGTCGAAATCTCGTCAAGAAGATCAGTCCTCTTCTCATGTCGCTACCGCAACTAGCACATCGTCTACCGTGCACGAGTTGCTAACAAGGGCCACCAGTTTGGGTGGAACCTCGGTTGGTAGTTCGTCGTCCAATGCTGGTCGCAGCACGCCCAGCACATCGAGTAAAGTTCGCTTTAGTGGTGGCAGCAGCCATCATGGCTCGTCCAACTCCAGCTCACAGTCATCCTCGAAGACATCGTCGTTTTTGGCCTCGCTCAACCCAGCTCGTTGGGGACGCCAGGGATCTCACCACGCCAGTAGCAGTTCATCATCAGCCGCCAACTCAGGTTTTACCAAAGATTCATCAGCCAGCAGCAGTAGTACAAGTTCTCATCATAGCCATAGCAATAATGCCGCCGGTTCAAGTGCTGGTCACTCCATGCCTGGTGGTGGTTGTTCGTCATCGCTGGCAGCCCAAAACATTAGCAAGAGTATATCACAGGCCAATCTGATAGCAGCTGGTAACCGAGAAAAAGCCCGCCAATGGATACGTGAGCAGGCCATATCGTTTATCAAGCGTTATGCGTCGCAAGAGTCGAAGGCGTCCAGTAACGGCACGGAAGGTTCAGGTACCACAAATGTCCTGCAGCGTCTGACGTCGGTAATTGCCAAATTGAGTGGCAGCTTCCCGGATATTTTGGAAGCCCTCTTCGAGTTGAAGAGCATTCTGCTGGAAAGTGATATTTCACCTTTCGAAGTGAACCATTCGGGCTTGATAAAGGCAATGTTGAACTTCATGACCTCCGAGGAGGGCCTGGTCGATCGTGATGCTCGTCTACGGGCATTTATGCATGTATTTGCCGGTTTGCCATTGGAAACGCTGGTCAAGGTAGGCCACTTACCCAGTATTGATGCCACAGCATTTGCTGCTTTTGTGGCCAAGCTGAACGCCTGTGTCACCCAGCTGGAACAATTCCCCGTTAAAGTGCACGACTTCCCTGCTGGACCCGGAGGAGGTCGTTCGAATACAAGTGCTTTGAAGTTTTTCAATACACACCAACTGAAGGTGAGTTAGTTGTCTGTCAGTACGCATTGAATTTGAAATGGTTTCTAACGGAGGGTCTTGTTCTGTTTTTAGTGTAATCTTCAACGTCATCCGGACTGCAACAACCTGCGCCAATGGAAGGGTGGTACTGTAAAAATTGATCCCCTCGCCATGGTGCAGGCCATTGAACGGTATCTGGTGGTGCGCGGTTACGGCGGCATTCGAGGTGACTTGGACGAAGACTCCGAAGAGGATATGGATGACAATGTGGCGGCTGTGGTTATGTCACAAAGTGGTTTCAAGCACAAACTGCAATTCTTGATCGGAGACCATCCGCTGCCCTACAATATGACCGTGTATCAGGCTGTAAAACAATTCTCACCACTGGTCAATGATCAATCTGAAACCGATACAGATACGGAAACACCATTGGGTATGATGTGATACGTGATTGGTTACCTCTGGAGAGGAGGATTTAATGTTTCTGATTTACTTTTTTTAGGAAACGCCAGTATATGGGTACAACAGCACACAATTTACTACCGACCAGTTGAGGAAGAACCAACCGGGTCAGGTGCATCCAGCAGTAGTAGCAATAGCAAATCCAATACAACTGGTGCTGGTACGTCCACTTCAGCACACAACGGCGGAGTACTTGCCTCGTCGTCCGGTAGTGGGCAGGGGGCGTCTGGCAGCAAAAAGAGCAGCAAGTCTTCGTCGAAACTGTTGCGCAAGAAAACCGAATTATGGCATGAGGGCATTGCGCCCAATGTCGTGTCCGCTCTTAAACCATTCCTTAGCAATACACTGCCCGCCGATGTGGTTACCAGCGTTTCGGATGCCTCCCTCGATGCCCTCTGTATGTTGCGTATCATTAATGCCTTGAACCGTCATTGGGAACATTTGTACGGCTGTGTGGTACGCCAATTGATAATACCACAATCTGATTTCATTCATCCTAAAATAACGGCCAAGGCTAATCGCCAGCTCCAGGATCCACTGGTGATAATGACTGGTAATTTGCCACAGTGGTTGCCACAAATCGGTATGGCTTGTCCATTCTTGTTCCCCTTCGAGACGAGGCATTTGCTGTTCTATGCCACAAGTTTCGATCGGGATCGCGCATTGCAACGTCTATTGGATACTACACCCGATTTGAATTCGGCTGAATCATCGGAACGCGTGGCACCACGTTTGGATCGTCGTAAGCGTGCAATATCCCGACAGGATGTACTGAAACAAGCTGAACATTTGATACAGGACTTTGGACATTCAAAGGCTCTGCTCGAAATACAATATGAGAATGAGGTGAGTTGGTTGGAATACTTTGCGATCTAAAAAAACAACATCTTAATATATTTGTTATTATTTTTTAGGTCGGCACTGGCTTGGGTCCCACCTTGGAATTCTATGCCTTGGTCTCGGCGGAATTACAGCGCACCGATTTAGGTCTGTGGAACGGTAGCGACAGTTACAAACAAAACTCTGCCAACATTGTAGATGTTGTCAAATCCACAAGTGCCACATTACACATTGAAGAGTCGCAGGACACCAACACCCAGACCAGCGACACAGCAACAAATCAAACAACACCCAGCCCCACTACAGGCTCCACGCGCAGTTCAAGTCGCAATAATCGCGACAGTTTCGGTGTGGCAACACGCAGCAGTTTGGTGGCCACAAATAATTCTATCAACAACCAACAACAGTCACCACAGGCTGGAGATGATGCCTTAGATATGCTTATTGAGCAGCAATCGGATGTGGTGGATCAACAGCAGCAGCAGCAGCAACAACAGCAGCATGATCTTTCAATGCCATTGCTAGATAATCCAATAGCTGTGAACACGATTAGTACACCAACGATACAAGTGAGCCCCACGCCACCTCCCGTCACCTATGTAAATACATCTCATGGCCTGTTCCCCTTGCCCCTGGGAAAATCTTCGAAGTTACCACATGTTTCCAAGGTCAAATCGAAATTCAAGTTTTTGGGTAAATTTATGGCCAAGGCTGTTATGGATAGTCGTATGGTAAGTGTGAACCTAGAGGCTTTTTGAAGACTAAGAGCCAATTCTAATCTTTTTCTCCGTTCAATTTTACAGTTGGATCTACCATTCTCAATACCATTTTATCGTTGGATTTTGAATGAAGAGCATTCCATCGGTTTGGCAGATTTATCACGTGTCGCTCCCGAGGTGCAACAAACATTGGTACGTCTGCAAGACGTGGTACATCAACGCGAAATGATTTTAGCCGATACTAGTTTGGATGCTATGGAAAAGACTGAAAAGGTAGGCGTGTACGCACCGCACCAACAGAAATGCAATTTACTAACTTTTTGTTTATGTGTTGCAGATTGAAACACTAGATTTGGATGGTTGTCCCATAGCCGATTTGGGGTTAGATTTCGTTTTGCCCGGTCATGCAAATATCGAGCTGTGTCGTGGCGGCCGAGATACTCCAGTAACTGTACATAATTTACATCAATATATTAGTTTAGTGACATATTGGTTCCTTGTCGAAGGAGTGCAGAAACAATTTGAAGCCCTCAAAGAAGGTATGTATGATAGAAACAGAAAAAAGATCTTAACTAAACTTGAGAATTAAAATGAAAACAAAACAAAATTAAATAAGTTTATAGGGTGAGATAAAAAAACTGCAACAAAGTCAAACGCCATAATGAAAGCAAAATTATCGGAAATTGCATCAAATTTTAAAATAAGTTTAGATTTGTTCGAATTGTTCACCTTTGACACGAATTATGCCTTTAAACGTCAAATGAAACCGTCACACGCTGACCAAATGTTACTCTGCGGTATTTTGGCCCATTCCCGGCGAAGCTCTTGCTTGAGGTGATCGACACTATGGTATTTTTTAGTGTCAACCTTGCTTGCAAAATACTCCAGACACAATAGTCCAACGGATTGGTATCCGGAGATTTTAGTGGCCACCGTGCGCTGGAAATGAAGTGAAGAACCTAATTTTGTAACCATTTTTGGGTGGCGCGTGCTGACTGCGTCGGTGCTGAGTCCTGTTGGAATGCCCAAGGTCTGCGGCCAAAATGTTTGCGTGCCCAAGGCTTTAATACACCCTCCAGAATATTTTCGCGATAATATTCGGCATTAATTCTGATGCCACGGTCGATTAATACTAGCGGAGAGCGACCATCGGCTGTTATGGCGCCCCACACCATCGCCATGGCTGGCGCTTGAGTTCTGATGGCCAACCGAAGGTGCACATTTTCAGCTCACCTCTTTGGCAAGTAAACACGATCATTTTGTTTGTCTGCTGGACAACGAATGTTTTCTCATCGGAGAAAACCAAATTCGGCAGTTCATTACTTTCGGATAAGCTCTTTTGAGTCTATTTTCTTTCTTGAATTTCAATGGATAATTTTTCAATATTTGCTGAATGGAATATTGCGATATGTTCAGCTCACGAGCCATTTTTTGGCCACTGCGAAGCGGGTTTCGATTAAGTTGTTTCTTTACTTTTCGAACCATTTCTGCTGATGTTGCTGTTTTCTTCTATCCACTTCCTTGACGCCGGGCTACGCTACCAGTATCACGGTAACAAGCGATGGTACGAGACACAAAAGATTTATTCACATTTAAATGCTGGAGTGCTCTAACGATAACCGCACGCTTGACTTCCATCACGAATAACTTTTTTTCTGGAAAATTCTCACCAAAAAGCTTTTGTACGCTGGTAAACAATATAATGAGCTGTCACTGGAATAATTTTAACAGCTGTCGGACGAGAGGCTTAGAAATGATGACATCAGTCTGAAGTTGTTGCAGTTTTTTCATCTCACCTTGTAGCAAAATTCCGAAATGGAAATATTGTTTTTAAATTTAAATAACTCTTCCATTTTAATTAAAAAATAATCCATTTACTTATTATATTTGTTTTGATGCATTATTTCAGGCTTTGATAGCGTATTCCCAACACATCGTTTGCGCATGTTCTATCCCGAAGAACTGGAGAATGTCTTCTGCGGCAGCAATAATGCCACTTACCAAAAATGGGATGTCAAAATGCTACAAGAAAGCTGTCGCACCGATCATGGTTTCAATCAGGAGTCACAGGCCATACAATTCCTCTACGAGATACTGTCGACCTACACCAGTGATGAGCAGCGGGCATTTTTGCAATTTGTCACCGGTTCACCGCGTCTACCAACCGGTGGCTTTAAGGCTCTGACACCGCCGCTAACTATAGTACGTAAGACCCTGGATGGAAATCAAAATCCCAACGATTATTTGCCCTCGGTAATGACATGTGTAAATTATCTAAAATTACCCGACTATTCGAGTCGTGAAGTGATGCGACAAAAACTAAAGGTGGCTGCCAATGAGGGCAGTATGTCGTTCCATTTGTCTTAAAAAGCAGTTGGATGATGCAGCATCAAGTACACGCTGGCTTAGAGAAACGCACACACACATACACACCACTCACTGTCGCCTTGAGCGCGTCGTTTTTTCTTTGTGGTAAATTAGAAATGGAGAACATGATCGATTTTGTTTCTTACATTGGGTGTTGTAAAAGTAGTAGATGACAAAAAAACAGAAAAACAAAACAACAAGAAATGGTGATAATTTTTTAATTTAATTTTTTAATTACATATTGTTTTTAAAAAACGGTGATGTTGCTGTTAGAGCAAATTTATAATTGCTATATACATATTAAACAAGAAAACTAAATATTAATAATAATACAAAAATAAAAAAATTAAAAAAAGTATAACAATTTAAAATCATACCATAAATTAAATCCTACCAGCCACCAATCAATTCCCCCCTTTTCCCAAAAAAAAAAAATATTATGAAAATGAAATTTAAATATTTAACCTTATACATATTAAAATAATAGTTATACTACACACATACAACAGCAAATATAAGTAAATAATAAATATAAATGGAAAAAATTAATAATAATAATATTAAATTATACTAAACCGGCACATGTTGCTGATTTTTGTCTCCTCCCCCTCAGAAATAAAGAAAACAGAACTTCATACCTTTCCCATAATAAACGCAAACATGTAAAATAAATTACTTTAGTAAAAAATTGCGACGTAAAAACTCCAATTTCTAAATTCAAAAAAAAAAAAAATCCCCTAAAAATAAATAAATAAATATGCAATTTATTGTTTGTTTGGTTTTCTCGCTAAAATAACAAATAGTTGAATTTATTTTTGTTACGCTTGTTTTCTCCTCAAATCAAAAAGAAAAAAATCGATTTAATTATATTTTGTTTGTCGTTTATAGCTCCTATATTTTTTATGAAAAAAATTACAATTAGATTCAACCAAACAACTGAATTAATGTTTGATTTGAATTACATACACCTCCCCGGTTTTCTCTCACTTAGAATTAAAACAAAATACATACATATTCATTTATTTATTTTAAGTTTTACTTATTTTTACACCATTATTCTTAATTTTCTATTTAGCGTTTTGTTTGTTACGTGGCTTTATAAATTAATCAATTTCTCTTTTGTAACAACATACATATAATATACATACATACATATATATAAAAAATACTTCAAACTTAAATTAATGTATTTAGTTGTAAATGGAATTTATCAATTTATGCAAAATAATATAAGAATTCAATATGTTTTAAAACAAAAGAAAATTATTCTGAAAAAGAATGTGAACTTTTATTTTTCCCCCATGGATGGATGTGGGCACAGTTAGCTAGGAAATATTATGGTTTTGGCTGGGGGTGTGAGATGCGATTTCTTGAAATTATTTAATTTACAAAGGCCATAAGTTTGCCGAGGACATTCTAAAAGCGGATCGAAATGAATTTGAATGTGTAAATATTAACTGGATTAATTGAACATTTTGATAGAAACAACTATTATGTAAATGTCGGAAATAGCATTAAATTTGTTTAGCCCGAATGTTGCTCTGCGGCATTTTGGCCCATTTCCGGCGAAGCGCTTGCTTGACGTCTTCGACACTTTGGTATTTTTTAGTGCCAACCTTTCTTTCCAAAATACTCCAGACACAACAGTCCAACAGATTGGTATCCAAAGCTTTTGGTGGCCATTGTGCGCTGGAAATGAAGAGAGGTACCTCATTTTGTAACCATTCTTGGGTGGCACGTGCTGAGTCCTGTTGGAATGTCCAAAGTCTGCGGCCAAAATGTTTGCGTGCCCATCGCTTTAATGCACCCTCCAGAATATATTCGCGATAATATTCGTCATTTATTTTGATGCCACGGCCGATTAATGCGGGCGGAGAGCGACCATCGGGTGTTATGACGGGCCACTTCATCACCATGGCCGGCGCTTGAGTCCAGGTGGCCAACCGAAGGTGCACATTTTCAGCTGACCTCTTTGGCAAATAAACATGATCATTATGTTTGTTGCTGGACAGCGAATGTTTTCTCATAGGAAAAAACCAAATTCACAACTTTACGCCAAGCGAAGCAACTCTTTAGCTCTTATGAGTCTATTTTCTTTCTGTTGCGGTGTAAGTTCTTGCACTTTTTGGAATTTCAATGGCTTTACTTACACCGAACTCATTTTTCGATGTTTGCCGAAGGGAATATTGCGATATGTTTAGCTCACGAGCCATTTTTAGGCCACTGCGATGCAGATTTCGATCAAATCGCTTCTTTACTTTTCGAATCATTTCTGCTGATGTTGCTCCACTCCACTCCGTCCACTTCCTTGACGTCGGGCTACGCTACCAGTATCATGGTAACGAGCGATGGTACGAGACACAAAAGATTTATTCACATTTAAATGCTGGAGTGGTCTAACGATAGCCACTTGTGGTTCTCCAGCCAAATATAAAAAAATCAACTTCTTTTCTGGAAAATTCTCACCAAAATGTTTTTGTACGCTTGTAAACAATATAATGAGCTGTCACTGGAATAATTTTAACAGCTGTCGGACGAGTGGCTTAGAAATGACAGCTGTCTGAAGTTGGTTGCAGTTTTTTCATCTCAACCTGTACAGCTGCAATTCGGTTTCTATCACTTGCTGGATAGTGTTAAATTGCGTATCAATGAGTCTGCGACCTCTAGGTCCTTAGTCTATGATATTCGATATCCGATATTCGGTTCTTTGTTGATTTTAGCGACATTATTCACCGGAAATGTTTCAAATTTGGTATTTAATGTTCATAATGGATACTACAGCCTCTGAAAGAAAATTGTCTGTGCAGGTCCACGTCTTCGTATAACCCCCATATAACGTTACCTCCCGATATTCAGTATTTTGACGATTATAGCTACATTATTCACTGCCGATGTTTTTTTAAGTTTCGCATTTGAACATTGTAATGGCTTATGACAAAAGTTAACTATGCAGGTCCATCTCGTCGTATAGACCCTAATATAACAGCTACATGCGACATTTTTAAGATTTTTACAGAGTTTTTAACGGATTTTATTGTTTTTGGGAATTGGCAAATTCGTTTTACATGGTGGAGGGTATTCAAATTTCGGCCCGACCGAACTTACAGTTTTTTTCTTGTTTTATTTAAAGATCGGTGATGGCCTCGAAGGTATTAGTGACGTATTGAGTATACGCATCCAAGTACAAAACCATGTTCGAATAAAAGCTAACAGCAACATTTTTGTTATTGACAAATATTCGACTTTATTTTTGAAATCCAAACATATTTGTTTCTTAATGATGATTCGAATATTATTGGAAAAGAAAAATTCCACTCCAAATGATTTTTTTTTAAATTATTGATTTTTAGAGTAAGAAATTTCTCCAAAACACATTTGAAATAACATGTTTCTTTCCTCTTTACTTTTGTATCGTCAGACAGAAACATGATGTCCTAATGATAATGACCTGTGGATAAACGACTTTTGATTCTGCTTAGAGAAAGATATAGAATCAACCCAATCCTGTTAGCAAAAAAAATGTTTTAAGGTATTAGGAGTGTCTGGTTACCCTAAAATTTGTAACCATTGTTGCAAATTGTCGTCTGGTAACACAAGAGATCTGTAGAATGGAGCGATTTGATAGAACAATATTGACAGTTCTTTCACTGAGAGTTTGCTGGACAATTTTTTTCTTGCAATCACTTGCAACTCTTCGTCTTCTCCTTCGGGTGATGTGGGCAAGAAATTTTAAAACATATTTATTTTGAAAAAAAGAGAGCACAATTGTTTTGTTTTTAAATTCATTTTTAATTTTTGTGTTCTTAATTTCTTTTGCTTTGTTTTGATAAATAAGCTAATTGCTTGCAAGGTTTTGCAGGGATTTCGTCTGGTTTCTCTTACAGTTTTCTTGCAAAAGAGAATAAAACTACCTCACTCTCTCAGAAAGAAATTGCTGGACAATTACTACAGGAAAAGTAACCAGACATACCTATTCGTTTTTGTTACAATAACAAAAGAAATTTTAACTACTTTTCAATCGATAAATGTTACAGACTAGGCTTACTACTGAAAAGTGGGCTTGGATCTGAAAATGTATAAAATTGAATTATTCATTTTGCGACTAAATTTTCATTTTTCTTCAAAAAGCCGCCACGTAAAAATATTCTAACCAAAAATAAAAAAAAAAAAAAAAATCAGCAATAGTACCGAAAAGTAACAAAATTTAGTGTCGACTAATCTAAATACATGCATGCATATATAAAAAAATATATATAATTTTAGGACTTTTACTATACTTAATACAATTGCTGTAGTGTAAAGGAAACAACAACAAGAAAAAGAACATAAAATACAATCTCTAGTAACAATTATCTACGCAATCGTTTAAGCTTAGAGAACCTAATTTTAAAACTCAACACAAACTCACTCACTCACTATAAATAAAAATGAAAATGAAATATTACTAACGGCTCAGAACCTATCTTCATATATAGATATATATAGGAGAAACAGACAAAATAGCAACTAATATCTATGAATTATTGTTCAATAATTATATTTTGTTTTATTTTCAAGTCTATTTATTTTAGCTATCATTTTTTTGTGAAAATATATTTTTTTATTTTTTATTTCCTTGGAGATATTTCACTTGCAATAGCTGTACCGATATAAACTAATTGATAACATAATTATAATCCTTACAACAAATATAAAGCAAAACAAAAAATATACAACCCGATCTATATTAATTTTAGTTTAATTTCCATGCAGAGACCATAAAATAAACTTTTTTGAAGGAACACATTTCGATATATACAGTCTATATAACATAAAAAATATCGATATAAAATAAATATATAATATAAGTATATATACATAAAATTAAACGTAAATTTAAAAACAAATTCAGATGAAAATAAATTATTAAATTGAAAACTAGAAGAAAATTGCATTTTCAATTGCGGCTCATAACAGAAATCTATACCATCTTTATAACTGGTCTTGAGTTGATGGAAATATTGAGATGTACCAAATCTGAATGGAGTCAGATGTTAAAAAGTTTGACCCTTTGTGGGGGAGGTACAAGACCTTGGGTTAATAAAAAAATTGTGATTCCAGTAATTTGAAGTCAATCGGACACTTACATCACATTTTATAAGAGTTATAATTATTCAAAAGTGGACCGATATTGTTAATTTTTCGCACCTGACCTAGCACTGATGCAAAAATTCTCTTTCAGTGCAGCAAATTATTTTTTTTAAATGTTGACATTTTGTGTGGGAGGTACCAGAAGGAGTGGTCCGATATTTGCCATATGCGAAGTCGATCTTAGTTTGATAATAATATTACGATGTAACAATTTTGGATCAAATCGGATACTCCCTTCGAGAGTTATCGTGCGCACCAGCCAGCCGGACGGACGGACATAGCTAGATCGACTCCAAATGTCCTGAAACAGATTTGGTCCAAAGAGGCCTGGGGTCTAAAACGGTTATTTCGATGAGGCACGTTACTACAATATTGCTGAGGGTATATTTAAAGTAGAGGTCAATTTATTTTATTAAGGAAGTATGTTTGGTTTAAAAAATGGGCTATATCGGTCCGTATTTAGTTTTAGATAGGATACATTTTCATTTTTCGAATTTTGAAGACCTCTTTAACAATTTCTACAAAATCAGTGGAGAAGGAGAGGCAAATTTATTTTCTGATTAAATTCCGTCAGTCATTCCAAATTTCATTGGAATCGGACATACCTATCGTGTTTGGTTCTTCAAATAAACGAAATCGGTCGAAAATATATGTGAAAGCTATATTCAAATCTTAATCGTTTTCAATATAATTTGGCAAATTTATTTTTGTACAGATTTCCTTTACACATTCAAAGTCTGAAGCATTTAAAAATTAAATCTTCTGGAGACACCTCCGATTCTAATGCCATATCTCCATTTCCAAGTTCCATGTGTATATGGACATTTTCTGGAAAATCTGTTTAGCAGTTTTTGAGTCCGTAAATTAAAAACAAACAATCAAACGTACAAACATTTTCGTCTTTTATAGATATATAAGGATTAGGCCCAATCAAAAATTTGGTCCCCTTTTATGGAGGTATTAGAAAGGATAGGCCAATATTGACCTAACAGTGATACAAATACTAGGAATAGTTTGACCAACATCGGATGAATCTTTCTTCTTCTATATATAAATATATTTTCTTTGAATATGTTGACCTTTTACATTTCAAGTTTGGACGAAGTAGAATATTCCCTTCGACAGTTATCGTGCACACCAGTCCTGAAAAAGATTTCTACCTATGGCCTAAAAACGTTACTTCGGCGAGACCCATTTTGGCCGTATCAAATTATATATACCCTCTTAGATATATGGCTGAGAGTATAATAACATCTTCCAATCTCTATGTCTATCACCATTTCTATACCCTCAGACTTTTGGCTACAGAGACCATGTGTAATTTGATACAGCCAATATGCGGTTCACTTTAAATTTTACACATCCCACTCGTTTTGTCTATATCAGAGCAAGTGTGAAAATAGAATACATATGTCCTCACAAAGGTTTATAAGTGTCAAATAAAATTAATAAATTAATAAAACTTAAAACGAATTGGATATCCGGTATATTGTACCCATTTTTTTTATATTTAAACCAGTGTACGATTTTCTTTAAAATTCTTTATATCTCAGTAAAACAACATAAGACCTCCCATGAAGATTTGCGGGAGACTCTATGTGGAAACTCTTCCAATAAGGTCCAACATTTTTATCATCATACGACGCGAAATTATTCCCGCGTTGCAATATTTGTATTTACATTAGATCTATAGTAAAGATTTGGTATAAAGTTAAAATCTTTATGGTACATCCCCTAAAAAAAGATGTATTAATAAATGGGTAAGTGTTGAGAGGTAATTATTTATTCCTTTATTCGATAAACAATTGAGAAACAAATTCTCCTCACTAGTTTCGTGGCTGAGAGCAAATGCTCTCAAACGAAACTTCTCACCACTCATTTGCATGAGAAAACTATTCACACTCTCCTCTTCTTGTGTTTCATAAAAAGAACAAGACTTTTGTTTACCTCAAAAAATGGCAGAGGAAAAACTTAGAATTGTATATAAAATAAATACGCATAGAAAAACAATGAAAATGTAATACAAGAAAATAACAAACTAACAAGGAGTGGAAACGAATGAATCTACACAGATGATCGTGTATTGACAGAGAGGAAAATTCAATGAATGAATGGGAGGCCCAAAGGTGGCGGCTGTCTGCCCACCACAAATTCTCATTGCCAAAGAGTCGAAATAAAGAAACAAGGAAAATGCTCTGCACATTTTCCCAAATAATCGAAGTAGATGAAGAGAGCAACGAAATTGCTGCAAGGAGAATGGATTTTTCATTATTTTTTCCGTTAACGGTGGGCTGGTTGGTTGGTATGATTCCGATCTTCGGTTGTGTTGTGTCGAAAAAAATACAGTGAACGCGAAGAAGAAAATATGTACTTAAGTTTTGTATTATTTTTAGAATATTGAGAAAAAATAAAACAATATTCGTTGTACTAAACAACAAAATACAAAAATTGAATGTTAATGTTGTTGATTTTTCATGCATTTCAAGTTGAAAATAAAAAATTATGCTAGGCATTTCATTTAAAAACGATAAATTGTTGTGAAAACACGCCGTGAGTTATGGTCCAAAGATAAAAATTCAACAAGAACAAGAATTTTGAAATGGAAACGCAAAAAAAAAACCGAATGAAATAAAATGTTAAAAGAAAAGTTTTCGGGGAAGAAAAATGGAGAAGTGAAAACTACACTGCAAACGAAATTATTGTGGAAATATTAAAATTATATAATTAATTAATAAAAAGGTGGTGATATCGGAATTTTAATTTCAAATAATAATTACTACAAATCAAACTAAAATGTGTTCAATGTCAGTGCTGTGTCCATTGTGCCATCGCACCAGTTTCTCGAGCATTGATGCCTTGCGCTGTAGCCTGATCAAGGCTGCCAACGGTCCATTAGCGTGTCCCATATGCCATGAACTATTTTTGGGTTTGGATAAATTGACCATACATTTGTTTAGTCACACGAGCATTATGAATGCCAATGACAGCCCCAGCAATAACGGCAACGACAAAGAGTCGGAAACAAAAACGACGACCGCTGCCGCCAGAATAGCTGACAATAACAATAATAATAATAACAACAACAACGAAATATTAAAAATCAAACAAGAGGTTACCCCATCATCTGCAACATCAGTATCGGCAGAGGGGACAGTTTCAAAAACCCCACAACAAAATATCACAACAGAGGCCAACAGCAACAACAACAATCAACAACAGCTGCCACCACCCCCACCATTAAGGGCGAATACGAGAAAATCCAAGGTGGGAAAATCGGAGACCAAGAAAATTAGTAAAAAATTACAGGTGGCCATACTGAATGAAACGGAGCTAACGGAGGCAGCCAATACACTGGTGGGCCCCGATGGCAGAGTCATGGTGAATGATACCTCCACATCCTTGGCCACTTGTGATATTTGTGAATTCACCTTTCGCAATGCAGAGTTAAGGGATATGCATGTTCGATTGGTGCATCAGAACTTCATCTACAATACTCCATCATCCGCCAACTGCAGTGCAAATCCCCAGCAAACGGAACCCGATTTCAAATGCCATTTATGCTCAAAAGTATTCAAAATGAAAGGTTCGCTGAGGGTACATTTGAAAGTGGTACATCTCATGGGTTTGCCCTATGTAAATAATATACCCAAATTGGATATTTGTGAGCGAATACGTCACAAAGAGAATAAGCAAATAAAAGCGTCCACAAGTTCCGGCCAGTCGCAGGATATGCCTACAACAAGTAATAACTCATTAAATCAAAGTGAAAAGAATATCTATAATTTACCTCAAACAATACTACCCGCATCGGCTGTGTTTTCCTCAACCCTGCCAACCATGGCCGCTTCCATAGACAGCTCAGGATCTTTGGGGAATTTGAGTTTGATAAACATTACACCAACGGCTGAGTTTGTTCCAGCAGCCGCCATAAGTAATTCCACTGCGCTTCCAGCATCCAATGTACTTTTAGTATTTAATCACAGCAACCAGTGTCCTTCCATGCCAGCGAATACAACGAGTAACACCAGCAATTTGGACAAAGATAAATCTTCACAAATGAATTCCAGCATAGCTCCCACCTCCAGCAACAACACCACCACCACCATAACTTTAAATACATCATCCTCTGATAATCCCAAAATCTGGGAATGTGATGTCTGTTCGAAAGCATTTACCACAAAATATTTTTTGAAGAAACACAAGCGTTTACATACAGGTGAAATTGACTTATTCGAATATTTTCAAAATGGTTACAGAAATAATCTTCTTTTTTTGTTGAATTAGGTGAAATGCCATATACATGTGAGACGTGCGGTCGCAGCTTTACCTTTCAACAATCCTATCACAAGCATTTACTCTATCACAGCGATGAAAAGAAACATGTCTGCGGTACCTGTGGTCGAGCTTTCAAAGAACTCTCAACGCTGCACAACCACGAGAGAATCCATAGTGGTGAAAAGCCATTTAAGTGTGATGTTTGTGGTAAGATATAGACTTAAAAAACCTGAGCCACAGAGGGTGCATATAGTCACAGGGTGTATAATGAGGGTGTTTTAGGCCAAATGTCTATTTGGATGCTATCCGAGTCGGGGTAATTAGGATCGATCTAGAGATGTCCGTCCGTCCATTAGTAGGGTTTGTGAAGGGATATTATTTCAAAAACTTATGTATGAAGGGAAGGGATTTTCCGAAATACTCCAAACCTCGCAGGTCTTAATGATTCTAATAGGCTAAAATCAGGAGTGAACATGAAAATATCAGACTAATTCGCGTGCCTCGCCCACATAACGCTTTTAACTCTTAGATTTTCTTTGAACTTCGCACGTCTCATATCCATATCCAATTCTGAAGAGATTTTCACTAAATTGGACGGATACATTTTAATCTTTTATACCAAATAACATTGCTATAGGGTACATGATATCACGAGAAGGTTTATATTAAAAATATATATCGGAACCGAGTTCCACAAAATGAAAAATGACGTCCCGAAATTCACTCCATTTGGGCTGATATTAGTCGTTATTTGCACAATAAACCTGAAATCGGATTAAGTAATATATGGGAGCTATACCCAAATCTTAGCCGATTTCTATAAAATTTGGAAAAGGCATTTCCGAGCTCTATAAGATATCTGGTATCAAACATCATTGCTGACGAATACATACAGGACAGACGGACTGACAGGCATAAATCGACTCAGAAAGTCATTCTATGGAGATCCTCAAAAGTAGCAATGGGTCTATCTCGCTTTCTTCTCCCTGTTACAAACAAATGCACAAAGACATAATACCCTTACCACTATGCGGTGTAGAGTATAATAAATGCAAAAGAGCACCTCCCCATGTTTTTACCAACATAAGATCTGGTGTGAATATACGATATAGTGGACTACTCCTTCTGGTAGCTCTCTCACTACGGCCTTCAGGAAATAATCATAGATTTTCAACGAAAATTGTTTCGAGGCTTCAGGAAATAATCATAGATTTTCAACGAAAATTGTTTCGAGGAACCCCTGACTTAAAAAAAGATGGATTAAAAGAATGTTTTAAGAGTTCTTGTCAAAAAAGTGTGGGCATTTTTAATCTCTCCACATTCTTTCAAAATGGTCCTACCAAAAAATCTTCTATTTTTTCAAGGGCTTCATCAAAAATCATGAATTTTGCAAGCAGATTTTTAAGGACTTAAAGGCAATAGGTACGAAATAATTGAGTTCAGCCAGACCCTCCCTCCACCATTTAGAAAGTAACACTTTGAAAATCATAAGGTCAATTTCTAGCAGAGGGGACAGTACCTATCATGAACTTAAAACACCAAATTTAACTGACCATATATTTTCTTGATCGGACTTCTTTAAAAATCTTTAGAATTGAAAAAAAAAATCAATCATATCTTTATAATCTAAAATAATCAAATTCCAAACTTCTCTCTTTCCAGGTAAAAGTTTTCGTCAACGTGTCTCGTTTCTTGTGCACACTCGGATACATACCGGCGTTATGCCCTATAAATGTGAATTTTGTCAGAAAAGTTTTCGCTACAAGGTGTCACAGCGGACCCACAAATGTCAGCCCTTGGGCAATGGAGAATCGAACCCCGAAAATGCCAATGATGCAGCTGCTACATTAGATCATATATCGGTGAATTTCATAAAAGCCTTTTTGGAAAATTCAACAAATACAAATAATTTACAAATACAACAACAGCAACAACACGAACATTCGTTACAACAAAATTCTCCAGCCAGCAATGAAATTTCCGCAATCAATGATAAACTTCTGCCACCGGCCACAACACCATTACCACCAACCCAATCGCCTGGGTCTACATTAAATGAACATCAGGCTTTGTTGACCAAAGCCATTGATGACATTGTTGTGGAATCATGTAATAAATTAGGTATTGGCAAAAATGCCAACGATCAGCATCAATATTCATCACCTGTGCAGAGTGTGGCGCATGATGACGGATCCATGTCACCATCTCAGAAACTTCAAAACATGCGTTTATATTCTCCACAATTGGCGGTGAACACAAATAGTCCAAGTGACATGAATGGCATTGGAGTGGAGGGAGATTTAACGAGATTTTTCTTGGAAAACTCATCTGTGGAACAGAATATTTTATAGCAAAAATAGGATGGTTTAAATGTTTTGTGTTAGTTTTCATTTTGCAGTTCAAGTGATATTAAATAAATGTTTTATTAAGAATTTGTTAATAATTTATAGATTTATTGCAAAAAAATTTATGTTGATACAATTTAAATTTAATTTTTCTTATTTAACAAGTTAGGAAGTATCGGTCGATTTGCCGGAAAATACACAACCCATGACCTCAGCCTGGCGGTAATATTGTGTTGTGCCAAACAATCGGAAACCCCCACTCTTTCTATACTTTTTTTGATTGTTTTAAGTAATTTGATGGTTTGTGAAAAACTGACGGACATCGTTAGATCGAAACTGATTTTGTGTATTGTGATATATGCCCTTTGATAGGGTGACATATATCCTCTGTAGCAATGAGGCTAGGGATATTATCATGGATATTTATACCCTCACCCATATGGCTAAAGAGGGTATATATCATTTGTCGCGGCTAAAACGTGCCTCATCGAAATAACGGTTTTAGGCCCTAGGTCTCTTTGGACCAAATCCGTTTCAGGACTATCGGAGTCGATCTAGCGATGTCCGTTCGTCTGTCTGTCTGGCTGGTGCACACGACAACTCTCGAAGAGAGTATCCGATTTGATCCAAACTTGATATTATTTTCAAACTCAGAACGAGTTCGGAGATGGACAAAATCGGCACACTCTTTCTGGTACACCCCCCCCCCCCCCCCCCACAAAATGTCAACTTTTTCCTAATATTTGCATCAGTGCTAGGTCAGGTGCGAAAATGGACAATATCGGTTCACTCCATCCAGTACCTTCCCCACAAAGGGTCAAAATTTTGATTTATTATAACTCTTATTAAATGCGATGAAAGCGTTCGGCTGTCTTCAAATTACACATATCGCAATATTTTTAATAATCCAAGGTCTGGGGTGAAGATGGAATATATAGGTCCACTGCTTCTGGTACCTCCCCCACCAAGGGTCAAAATTTTGAATATTGATGAAGCTCAAAAGATACGAAATACATGTCCAATTCCATTCAGACTTGGTACATCTTAATATTTTCATCAAGACAAGGTCTGTTATAAAGATGGTAGAGATCGGATATTTTTTCCTGGCTAAAGGGTTAAAATTTTGAATAACCAAAACGATCATAAAATCCAAAACAAGCATCATGTTCTCTTCAAATTGCACACATAACAATATTTTTATTGAACCAAGGTCTGGTGTGAAGATGGAATATATAGGTCCACTTCTTCTGGTACCTCCTCCACAAAGGGTCAAAATTTTGGATATTCATGAAGCTCATAAAACACGAAATTAATATCAGATTCCATTCAGACTTGGCTCATCTCAATATTTTCATCAACACAAGATCTGTTTTAAAGATGGTAGAGGTCGGACTATCCTTTTGATACCTCCCCCACAAAGGGTCAAAGTTTTGAATAACCAAAACGATCATAAAATCCAAAATAAGCATCATGTTCTCTTCCAATTACCCACATCCCAATATTTTTATTGACCCAAGGTCAGGTGTTAAGATGGAATAAATCGGTCCACTCCTTCTGGTACCTCCCCCACAAAGGGTCAACATTTTGAATAACCATGAAGCTCATAAAACGGGAAATTAATACCCGATTCCGTTCAGACTAGGCACATCTTTATTTCATCTGTTATAAAGACGGTACAGATCGGACCATTTCTTCAGGTACCTCCCCCACATAGGGTTCAAGATTTTTTCAAATTAGCCAGACAGACAAACGGACGTACAGAGCTAGATCGACTCCAAATGTCCAGCAACGGAGGTCTAAAATACGTTTATCCATCAGGCACATTTTGGTCGCATCAAATGATACATAGCCACGTGGCTAAGGGTAGAATTTGGCACATGTTTTATATACTTCGAAACTTTCAAAAGTTGAAGACTCATAGTTTGCATTTTTATTCCCGACCTTAGTTTGATACACGTTTTAGGATATGTACGCGGTTATTTTCAAATCTGAGTATCAACGCTTGCGCATTACTATTTGTTTTAATTAAATGACACTTGGCTTTAAACTGTCGCTATGTGTTAACCGTTATTACCAACTTAACCGTTACTATAGTTTGTTTGGCCATTAAGTTTTGTTTATGGACATTGTAACGAAGGAATTTTGTCGACAGCTAGCAACACTTCAAACCAAGGCATCTATCTACCTTGCTTCAAAACATTGAAAATATAAAAAAGAAATCGAAATAATTTCAAAATATTTTCCCCAAAACCCGCAAACATGGATGATGAAATGATTCGCAAGGCCATGCAGGCAATGAATTGGAATTCACTGTCTGAAATTCCCATGGCCAATGAGGAAAATCGCCTGCTTTTGAATGAAATACGTCTGCTAGAGGAGAAGAAAGAGGAAACGTTGGAATATCAACAGCAAACCGAAGAACGTCTTAAGAAGCTTCATGAACATTCGAAAAATGCCGAAATCACAATTAATCATAATTTGGTAAGATTTGCGGACCCATATTCCTAGCCCCATTTTGCAAAATTAAATCACTTTCAGAAACTTCTGAATGCCTATCAAACTGATGTAAGGACAGAGGCTCATCTATACAAACTTGCTGTGAGAGAACATTCCAAACTCAAAGTGGATCTTAGAAATTCGGACAAGGAATGGAAGAAGTCCAGGAAACATATTGAACATACAGAAAGTAAGTTGCACACAAGGAGCGTTCATTTAAAACGATTTCATTCATCATTTTATGCTCTCCAGAGGAAATGTGTACCTGCAAACAGAACATTGACAATTTAACGAATCGCATTAAATGGGCCAAAACAGCCCTGATCGAATGGCGCAAAGCCACGGAGGATGGTAGTAAGGGTTATCAGCTCATCGAAATGTACTACAAGGACGATCAGATGCGAGCCAAACAGCAGAATCAAAAACGTGAAAAATTAAATGCCGAAATCGACAAGTGTCGTCAAAAGCTCATACACATGTATGACGAGCAAAAGACCCTGGAATGTAATTTGGAGTGTACTGCCAATTTGTATCGTACCGCACATGCAGAACGCCGTGCCATGGTGGATACATGGAAATTGGCAGCAGGTCAAATGTCACAACGTGAAAAGGATATACGCAATAGTGAAATGGCATTGATAGATTTGCGCAATCAGGCCCACAAGACGGCAAGAGATCTAAAGGACATGGATACAAAATTAAATGGAATCATCGAAAATAATCGTGAAGTCGAGGCTGCTATAGAACAGCTGAATTCTGAGACATCTGATATGAAGGAGGAGATGCAGAGACTCATCGATGCTGTGGCATTGAAAACTAATGAGGTTAGTGCTAAGAAGAAGAAATAAAATATGGAATTAAAATATATTCGAATAATAGCAGAAGACAAATAGTTTAATCAAATATACGGAAGGTTGAGAATATAACTCTTCCTTCATTTAAATATTGATCCTTTTTTTCTTACATAAGTAGGAAAGAACGATTTTCGAAAAATAGAATAATAACAACACTTAGATCTGTATTCCGAAATTTCTTTAATTTCACCTGATGTTTTTTTAATTATTTTTCTTGTACTTCTTTAACAGGTGGATCTCATCCAAAAAGAGCTGCAAAACCTTGCCAATCGGGTGCAACAGCAACGCATGGAAAATCGCCGTACGATGAAAACAAAAGAAGATCGCATTATCGAATTGGACAATGCCGAGAAAATTGTGACAAAATTAGAAGAACGTCTGCGTTCTATGTCCGATAAGAATATGAGTGCCCAACAACGTTTACAAACACTGGAGGATTTAATGGATGTCGAAGATCGTGCCCAAAAGGCCGTCAATAAAGAAACAGATCGCATCAATGGTTTGATCTATCGTTCACAATTACAATTGGTTAAATTCCGCGAAGAAGGTTTGGCATTGACGGTATGGACTTTGAGTTCTATAATATTTATAAAAGTGGTGGTAATTATAATTTGCCATTGGTTTTAGGTGGATAATCGTGGTATTTTATCAACAACGTCGGCTATTGTAAAAAGCATGGATGCCACCGAAAAGGAATTGAGAAAACAAACGGAGTGCAACTATGAATTGGTAAGTAGGAAGAAACTCCTTCTTGATTGATGACAGATATCGTTAAATTGGAAGTTGGTCGCCTTATGTTGTTGTTGTAACAGCTACACATTCTCTACATGATTACTGCTAATCTGGTTCTAAGTCCAGGTTCAAAAAATCGGCTATTTTCGTGGCCTGTAATCAAAGATCTTCTTTTATGGGGTAGGATTGGCAGGGCAATTAAACAAGATTTAGATCAAAAAAGTCCTTCCTAACACGCCTGGATGAAGAAGTTTTATACACCACATGATGGTACGAGAAGGACGGACCTTCGTCACTTGCAGTTCTCACGGCAATACTCTGGCAGGTCTGGATGCTCTTTCACTGCGTAGAAATTTTATTCGTAGACCACACTGGGGACACATAGATGATTGGCATATAGCGCTATAAGAGGTAAACAAGATCTCATTGTCCGCACCCAAGTGTTGCCGGCTAGCTCCTTGAGGACCTTGTTCGTACTTTTCATTTTATCGGATCTGACCCCCAGGATGTTGAGGTAGTTCTCGAACGGAATTACAGGGTGATATGAAAAAACTGTAACCAATTTCAGACAGCTGTCATTTCCAAGTCCGACAGCTGTTAAAATATTTGACTGTAAAACCTCAAGAGGCTATCGTTAGAGCATTTAAATGTGAATAAATCTTTTGTGTCTCGTACCATCGCTCGTTACCGTGATACTGGTAGCGCAGCCCGACGTCAAGGAAGTGGGCGGAAGAAAACAGAAACATCAGCAGAAATGGTTCGAAAAGTAAAAGAAGCGACGCGTCGCAGTGGCGAAAAATTGGCTCGTGAGCTGAACATATCGCAATATTCTCGCTTCATTTCCAGCTCACAATGGCCACCAAAATCTCCGGATACCAATCCGTTGGACTATTGTGTCTGGAGTATTTTGAAAAGCAAGGTTGGCACTAAAAAATACTAAAGTGTCGATCACCTCAAGCAAGCGCTTCGCGGGGAATGGGCCAAAATACCGCAGAGCAACATTCGTACAGCGTGTGACGGTTTCATTGGCCGTTTTAAGGCCATAATTCGTGCCAAAGGAGACCAATTCGAACAAATCTCAACTTATACTAAAATTTAATGCTATTTCCGACATTTTTGCTTTTATTCAATAAAATTAAAAAATGATGGCATTTGACATTGTTGCAGTTTTTTTATCTCACCCTGTATATACGTTTTTGTTACGTGAGCTCTACTAAATACGCACATAGTCGGCCCTGCCAGACTTTTGACCTTTCCTTACTGGTTTTCAATTGCAAAACATTTTTAAAGTCCCTCCAATATTTTCACAAAAAATGTCCACTCGTAGCATAACCGATACGAGTACGAAAATTCCACTTTTTGCCAATGTTTTTCCTTTTAGTCCTTCAAAATCCTGCAATTAGAACGTCGAATTCTACATTTACAAGGCAGTTGCATTGATCCCGAAATCGAGCAACGCAATCAATTCTATTTATCCGAACTTGAAGAACGTAACAGCAAACTACAAAAAGGCGTTCAGGCCACTCAACAGCAGAATAAAAAACTTGAAGATGATATGCGGAAACTTACCATAACTTACAACAAAGATATGGCCCAACTGGACGCGGTTAATTTTAAAATCAAAGAGGCTCAGGTCTACTGCGAAGGTGGTCTGAAGCGGATCAAAGAAGAAAACAAACGTAATCAGGAGTTAATTGTTGAACTGAGTATTCTGAAGATGCGGGCAAATGAATTCGAGGAAGAAATTAACAAATGTGAAGATAGTGCCTATAATTTGGCTAAACATCGTATGCATTTGAATCGAACCATTCGAGATCGTATGGTGGAGATAAAAAGCCAAATGGATGTACTGAATTTGAAACGTAAGCATCAGCTGGAAGAAGTGAGTACTCTAAAGGCGGATATAGCCGAGAGACGGAAGCACATTGATGCAGTCAAGGCCCGTTTTGAGTTGACAACAAAGTTGCTGGGCGTCAATGAGGATGGTACGATGGTTACGGCAACCCAATTGCGAGTGGAAACAGCTCAGGAAAAACAAATGCTTTTAGATGAGGGCAATGAGCTCAATGAAAGAGTTCTCAAGGCGGAACGAGAAATAGAGGCCTTACAAAATACCCTGGCCTTGTTGAACAACAGCAACGATGTCTATCGAAAACAAATGCAAAAAATTCAAGATGGAGGTAAATACACCATTTTTTAGGCAAAAAATATAAAGTGATTTATAATTTCGTTTAGAGGAGGCCAGTGCAGAGTTAAAATTATTGCAAGTCAACTACTGTGCATCACTGAATACCCTGAGAAATCTGCGACAAGAATTCCAAGATTTGGAACAAAAGATACAGGAAGCTTACAAGGAGAGGGATGAACTGGAGAAACTACTAACAAAAGAAACTAATAAGAGGTAATCCCACATTTTCTATTAAAATGCAACTTCAATACAATATAAGTATTTCCTCCTAGATGTGAAAATGCAGACTTCCTTGCTAAATTGCAAAAAGAGTTACAGGACCAAGCAAACAAATTAACAAGGGCAGAACGTGAACTGAAAACTGCCCTAAAGGCCATAAAACAAAGGGCCATTAGCGAGGAATTCTTGAGGTTATTTGATCAAGACTTGGACCTAAGGGAAATGGAAAAACGTAATCTAAACGTCCTCAATCAATTGGGTGAAATTGCCTATGGAGATTTTGAACTTGGACCCAAGGTAGCTCGCCAAATTTTAGATCGGGGCCTTAAAATGCCTCATATGATGCAAAAGACACGCAGCTCTGTCTCTTGGCGCAGCGATACATCCTTCGACATGATGTCTTACTCTTCATCCAAGGGTAAGCTAGCTTCTTCACATTCAAAATATTTTGTTTTATTTATTGAGAACAAAAATTGCGTTTCTTTCAGAGATGTTTACTTCACGATCATCCCAATCGGAAATGTCCGAGTTAAAGCAAACATCTTCAGCCCGATTGAGTGTCGTCTCCATTGAATTGCCCGACAAAAATAAATCAAAATAATTACATTTAATTTGAAAGATTTATATTGAAATTTCAAAATCATAAAATTATAAGAGTCTACAATAAAATTACCATTATCCGATTGTATAATTTCTCCCTCAATCCTCGGCTTCTGAACCACTTCCACTGCCTGATGCTGTTCCCGAGCCTGATGGTGTGTTACTGCGCGAACGTGATGGCGATCTTGAGCCCGAAGCACTGCGTGAACGAGAACGCGAGCCACTCTTAGAACGGGATCGTGACCGTGTATTAGAACGTGATCTAGATCCAGATTTATTGGAGCCGGCTTTACTATGGGGAGTGCCCGAACGGGACCTGGATGGTGACTTAGAAGCAGATTTGGAGCGTGAACGTGAGCGGCTGGCCGAACGTGAACGAGAGCCCGAATGTGAGCGAGATCTTGAACGAGAACGCGATCCCGAGGCGGAACGTGATCTTGATCTCGATTTTGACTTGGATTTTGATCTGCTACGTGATTTAGACCGGGATCGTGAGGAAGCCCGTGACCCCTCAGAACCAGAACCGGATCTTGATCCAGATTTCGATCTTGAACGCGACCTATCTGAGGATCCAGAACCTGAACGTGACCTTGATCTGGAACGTGATTGCGATTTTGCCGATTTGGAACGTGAACGAGATTTCCTCTCACGTTGTATTTGTTCCTCCTCTTTGTCCTTGCCATCATCGGGAGCTGGGGTTTGTTGAATCTCCTCTTCCTCTTCTTCTTCCTCCTCCTCTTCCATCTCTTCTTCATCATCGTCATCACCCGGTGGTTCCAATTGACGTTCACGATAGCGTTGCATACGATGTTCATTCGCCTCCAAAGGACGATGTTTCACAACCAATTTCGTATTGCTTGGTTGTTGGCCAACCTTCATACGACGTTTGTTCAAACGTACACGTGTCTCCAGTTCATTATAGTAGACACCATCTTGGCGCATAACAAAGAAATAGTTTTCCTCGTAGCCCTTTGAAGCCTTGCTCTTGACATTCCAATTGTATTCACGGGCAATTTTGTATTCATACTCTTCATCATCCTTGTACAGCACTTGATCGGCAAAGTCAACACGTCTCTTCTCCAGTGTCGATTCAGTGGGTAAGAAATAGGCCACAAACTGTTCTCCACTCTCGTCCATGACACCACGAATCATAGCCTGAGACATTTCCTCCAACTGGGCGGGAATATTTTTGCCAGCCGGTGCCGGATCGCTGTCGAATATAACCTGGGCACAGGGATACTTCCAGTTCTTGAAATCTGGATACAATGGAATAATTTCCACTGGCACCACATTCGGTTTGGAGTAATGTTTGGTGATCTCGTTCTTGGTATCACTGAATGTCTTTTGAATTGCATTGATCTGGGCATCACGATCCAAATACAATGTCTCCTCGCGCAATGATTTCTTGACATTGTAACCCACTTTAGCTTCAATATTTTCCAAGTTCTGCGGTTGGAAACGCGTTTGTTCCGTGGAAATATATTCGGATTTACGCAACCAGGAGACACTGCGTGAATGCTGTTTGGAACGCACCGAATCGTGAGGTGTATGAACATCTTCTTCTAATAACTTTTCATCGGCGGGGTCCAATTGAGCATATGGATCGGCTTGATATAAATCTCGATTGATGAGATCTATGGTGACACCCAAGTCGTGTTCAGTTAAAACATCATATTTGTAGTTCCGCTCCAACGAGGTGGGATTGTATTGAACGAAACGATTGCTGTCGAAGGGATATTGCAGGAATTTCAAATCGAAAGGTATATCGGGTAGGTTATTCCCGTATTTTACGCGGCATATAATTTCCGATCTAGAAAGTGGCAAAAATGAGGCATTATAGAAAATGTCAGTGCAGAGAATAACAACACAAACTTACTTTCGCTCTGTTGGCCTTTGAGGTCTTTTATCGCTTGGCGGTGGAGCTCCATTGATTGTTGGCGGCATTTTTGTTTATATTCTAAGCATTAAAACGTGGAAAAGTACTTTTTTTGTAATTAATATAAAAATGTTTTCGATTCTACACAATTTTTTCCGACACCACGCACAAAAATACAATCCGATGTAGTTTTTAACGCCGTTGCACGATTACGTTAGGGCTCTATAGGTTGAATGTTAGTAGGGTTGTCCAAATCGTTTATAAATTAATCGATTGTGTATAAATTTGTGAAAAATGGGAAGGATATCGATTTTTTAATCGTAGAATTGCGCTTGCAAAATAAAATGAGATAAAAGAGCGAATAATTCGTTTCCCGTTCAATTTCTACTGCAAATTCTTTTGATAGAAAAAGAAAAACATTTCTTCCGTGGCAAAATACGATAAACATTACACAGAACAAAGAAGCGTACGGTGAACAAGTATAAATTATGGACCAAAATAGAACTAATTCAACCTAAAACTCCAAAATAAAAGCCTTTTATGTATTCTCACCTTAATAGCGCCTTTACACCAAAAATTGTATATGATATGCGAAGTCTACATTTACACGGGAATATATTTAAACTCCTCACGTCTAGACGTGTAACCTGGTATTTACATGATTCAAATTGTCTTGAATCTGAGTTGTATTTAAATCCCCCATAGGCACATGTTCCATTTATGGTACAACAAGGAGGTAGAAAAGCTGCGTAAAACTACAGAAATGCAGCTCTGAGTCTATGCCAGCTTCCTGTCAGAATTATTCAAAATTATAGGCAACAAGTGGTTTTTATTTATTTAATATTTTTTGTTCATTTCTAAAATGAGTCAAATAGGGCGAAAGATGAATAAAATGCCTGAATGTTCTCTCAAAATTATGATCCTAAGTGTTCAATTTTTCAATTCCATAGCAAATCTGGTTAATATTTAAGTTTCTTCCAATCATTGATTTTTGAAATATTTTGTTTTTATTTTTCAAAACAACAAATACATACACAAAATTGTCAGAAGTCGGTCACACTTAAAAAAATTAATCAGCTGGGAAGTATATTTCACCTTTTTTTGTACCAGGGTTCCAATATTTTCGTCACAGCCAAGATTTCTTTAAAGGTAATACATTCTAAAAAATTTTGACACTTTGAAAATATGAGAAAGAAAACCAATTGAATATTGTTGGCAATATTGAATAAACAATTATGCTCTGTCCAAAACCTGCAATAATCTACTATTTTTGCAATTTTTCGATATCATCAAGAGAAAATCGGTTATCGTAGTAAAAACTTTTACATTTTTGCTGTTCTGGAAAATACCAATAATTTTTGCCTGTTTTTTGCATTCTCTTTTGGTTGTGTATGTATATGTAAACAAACATCAGCTGAGCGACATTTAAATACATTTAAATCCTCCTTAGGGCGTATCTAAACACACAAATTTAACCCACTCGATCTATTTAACCCATTGGGTTAACCTTCAGTAGAGTAAATGCGCTATTACAAAGATATATTAGCTTTGGTCCAAGTCCACGTCCCCAAATAGCTGATAATTGCCTTTCGATTTGCTGGTGGAATTGGGATATATCCAATTTCTACAAGATGTTTTACTACTTTGCAAAAAATATTTAACTTGAAATACGAAAAAAAATTTTTTTATGCCCCAGAATATATTAAAATTGCCCCCAGATGAACTGAATGCCGGTCTTCATTTGTTTAGATCCTATTTTTGTTTAAACAATTTTAAGTGGTCGAACTGGCGAATTGTTGTTTTTGAGGTTTATCTTTGTTTGTTGTTTTCTTTTTTGTTCGCTCTCTAAACAATTACGTACCGTAAAAAACAACCATTTATTTATGACGTATTGCCGAAAAAAATATTATATTCAATTTGTTTTTAATACTGATCGATTTGTGGAGAATTTGAAATGAATTGAAAATCGTGTGCATATACATGAGCATGAGTATGTATGTTTGTGGCATTCTTTTGTTAGAAGCAGAAAAAAAAAGAAAAAATTACTTTAAAATTCAGTTATGAATTTTAAGTGAAACGGGAAAGTGAGTCCGAAATAACCCATTGCCGGATGGGTTAAGGGGAAGAAAATCTCAAAGCGAAATGAAAATCTTTGAAAAAAATGTGTGAAAATTATGAATATTATCAGTTAATATTAATGAATCATTTTGGAATGTGCCAAGGAAATGAGTTCAAAATATTAAATATTTAAAAGCTCTTGTGTTTATAATGCAATTTGTATTGATTTCATCAGCTGTTAAAGGATTAATGAACACACACCAGTGACAGCTCAAGTGACTTCAGCAATATGGCGGCGGCAGGAGAAACGGACAGCAGCTTCAATGAGGTAATGTTTGATTGTTTTTTAAATTTAAGCAATCTGTTCTACTCCGTAATGAGGTAGCCTTCTTCTCACCGACTCCTTAATGATCGATGCTCTCGTGACAACAACACATCCGCAAATATCATTGTTTAATAATCGACTTAAAATATTACATGACGTTGCAAAAACGTTTAATAAATCATTAATGATCACTTTTTTATAGCGCCATCCATGGTAGAAGAATATAGGTAGACGCGTCGACACAGCTGCTTGGACAATGAACTGTCAAACCAATTTTGGAATTGAAAATGTTGAATGAAAAATTATTTAAATTTGTAAAAATTGTTGAAAAACGCGAATTATAATAGCCTCCGAATGGCGTAGTATGTGAAAGTATATGAAAATCTACTTATATTTGAAAAAACATTTAAATATTTTTGACATATCAATGCTCCCAAGCGTTGATGCATCTACCTGTATTCTTCTGCCATGGCGCCATCTAAAGTATTTAAACACTGCGCGTACATGCTGAACTTATTTTCTTCGAAAATATGGAATTTTCATAAAATATCTATTTACTTTGGCAATTATTAATAATTTATCTAATACATTTTGTCAATTCCATTGGCAAGGTAGCCCAAATGTCAACACAGCGTTGGAAAGTATTTGAAGTTTACTTGACAACTTCCTTAAACAACATATTTATGTAGGTATTTGATGAATTCTTTGTTGTAAACAAAAAAAATCCGCTAATTTGGAAAATCAATATTTTTATGATCAATCACAAAGCCGTTGTTGTTGTTGCTGCTGCTGCGTTTTCTTCGAAGATAACTTAATAAATAATAAAATTGGGGGTTGTTGTTGTATGATTTATATGTGTTAATCAACCGAGTTGTTATGTGGGAAAAAGGTGTGTAGGTTTATTTTTTTTTAAAGAACATTGTGGAAGGTTAGAGAAAATTGGTGGCTGCGTTGCTTGACGGGGTATGATAACTGCGCGTCTCGATTAATCAATCAATTGATAATTTAAATTATAAAGTAAGAGATTTACATAATGTTGTATTCATGGTAGGATAATATAGGTAGACGCATCGACACAGCTGCTGGGACAATGAACTGTCAAACCAATTTTGGAATTGAAAATGTTGAATGAAAAATTATTTAAATTTGTAAAAATTGTTGAAAAACGCGAATTATAATAACCTCCAAATGACGTCGTATAAAAAAAATAAAAAAATCTACTCATATTTGAAAAGACATTTAATTTTTTTAACATATCAATGATTTTAGCGTTGTTGCATCTACCTGTGTTCTTCTACCATGACTAAAACCCCTCCCCTTATATCGTTTACTATTTTTATACCCTTTACCATAGTATGGAGGGTATATAAAGTTTGTCATTTCGTTGTAACACCTCGAGATATACATTTTAGACCGCACAAACTATATATTCTTGATCAGCATGATCTTTCTGTGGAAATCACTCTTGCTTCTGAACGATATGAAGTAGGTTGATAACATTTTTAACAAATGTATATTTCTTATTGTTATTATTTTTGAAAATGGGCCATGTGTGGAAATCACTCTTGCTTCTGAACGATATGAAGTAGGTTGATAACATTTTTAACAAATGTATATTTCTTATTGTTATTATTTTTGAAAATGGGCCATGTAGGTCCACGTGTTGTTATAGCCCCATATAATGGTACCTCCCTATTTTCGGTATTTTGGAGATTTTATTGACTATATTCACCGGAAATGTTTCAAATTTGGCATTTGAAGTTCGTAATGGATACTACAGCCTATGAGGAAAAATTGTCCGCACAGGTCCGGATTGGTATCCGGAGATTTTGGTGGCCATTGTGCGCTGGAAATGAAGCGAGGAACCTCGTTTTGAAACAATTCTTGGATGGCGCGTGCTAATTGCGATCATGTTGTTAGTTTACAAACTGCTGGACAACGAATGTTTTCTCATCGAATAAAACCAAATTCGGCAGTTCACCACTTTCGGCCAAGCGAAGCAACTCTTTAGCTCTTTTGAGTCTATTTTCTTTCTGTTGCGGTGTAAGTTCTTGCAGTTTATGGAATTTCAGTGGCTTTACCCCGAGCTCATTCTTCAATATTTGCCGAATGGAATATTGCGATATGTTCAGCTCACGAACCTTTTTGTGGCCACTGCGACGCGGGTTTCGATCAAATCGCTTCTTTACTTTTCGAACCATTTCTGCTGATGTTGCTGTTTTCTTCCGTACACTTTCTAGACGTCGGGCTACGCTACCAGTATCACGGTAACGAGCAATGGTACAAGACACCAAAGATTTATTCACATTTAAATGCTGGAGTGGTCTAAAGATAGCCACTTATGGTCTAAAGATAGCCAACCAAATATAAAGAAATCACACTATCACTCTTGAATTCCATTACGAATTACTTTTTTTTCTGTGAAATTCTCACCAAAATGCTTTTGTACGCTTGTAAACAAAATAATGAGCTGTCACTGGAATAATTTTAACAGCTGTTGGACGATGACTTAGAACTGGCAGCAGTCTGAAGTTGATTGCAGTTCATTCATCTCAGCCTGTATGGTTCCAATGACATTTTCAGCTATCTATGAGCAGTTCATTGGCCTCTGGTTACAATTGTAATTCTCATTCCGGCTCCTAGCTAGTTGTTGTTTAATTTTTGTATTAGTATTAAAGTTTTTGGAAATGATTAAATTAAAAAAAATGTTTTTAGCTACATATTTACCTAACTAATGAGTTCTCATTGATCAAAAACCAAATCATGTCAATT